TGTTTTAAGGTGTATTGGAGAATATAGACCTGCAAATATAGGTGGCGGGACATATGGGTCGAGATTTTCCTGGTTACATTTACCTTTATGACTCAGGCGACGATACTTGTGATATATCCGAGGTCTGTACGAGTTTAAGAGAATTTTATTTGACATCCTATTTTTGAGACATAATTGGAAATATAGGAAATAATAGGAATTAGATTCTCTTCTAACTTCTGTCATTATATTGACTTTTGTGAATATTATGCGAAGGTTTGTTGTAATTACAGATTAATGGTAATACAATTGCAAGCATATAAAACGTAGGATAAATATAATGTGATTCCCACTTGGGTTTTTTCAATGCATTCATCTTCGTGACTCATACGACGATACTTACCTGTTGTTTGTTTTAAGGGGACTTTACAGCGTGAGGAGAGTTTTATTTGGAACTGGGATTTGAGATGTATTAGAGGGTAGATCTGAGGTTATACGACATTTATCTTTCTGAGCCATGCGTGGGCCCCGGTTGTGATAACATATATATATTAACTTGCAATAATATTTGGTCTCGAAATTGGCTTTTTGACGCACGTTGGTCGGAGAAATCGAGAAAACAAGAAAGTGGATAACCAAGGTTCTTTTTCACAATGTAACTGAATGAACCTCTACGACCAAAGAAAATATTTATGCTTATCATTCTTACCAATTTTATTAACACAATTCGTAACACAGTGACCTTAGACAACTCTAGGAAAGTTTTTTCAGATTGATTTTTTTTAGAGTATGCTGCAGGATAAAACTGAAGAAATAAAGAAGTAAAGTATAATCCATGATGAAATTTTATCTTTGTGAATCTTCGATAGGATCTAGCAATGTTATATCAACGTTACCGCGGGAGCTCAGCCGACAGACTCGCGCTCTGATTGGTCCGAGTTTTTCGTTAATATCTCGTTAACAAAGCCTTGGATAACATTTTTGTTAAGGAAAAACTTGTCTCAAATCACCTCACGAGTGACCCATTTCGGGGACCTACAACACTTTTGTTAAACCCATTATATTTTTTTTTCTTATTTTTACCTCGTAATTCCTCCGTGGACATGCTTTGTAAAAATAATAGCTTCCCATCCATTGGATTACAATGTTTGTCAAAGGCGACAGGTAGAGAAACGCGCAAGGCTTTCTGGCATTGTTATCAAAATAACGACTTCTATCGTTATCTTTTTTTTTTTCACTTTCTTAACCACCCGGCGTTACCGGTCGTGACTCATACTCGCGCGCCAAATCGAAGGATAATCATTCCTCGCTGATTTATTTCCCTCTCAAACGCACCAACAAGAAACCATATTCTTTCCTCGTGCACTACCAGCCAATCGTTTCGTATCAATTACATTTTGATCGTTCTTTTTTCCCTACATTTTTACCAAAACGATAACTCCTGCCCACCTCAACTGACCATGTTTTTCTTCCGTTAAATTACCAGTTGATACCGGTGGTGCGGTGTTCAATGGAGTAAGGCGCGACGTCGATGTGCAATAGCTGCAACATGGTATTTTTAGCTCCGAACGATTTCATAGAACCCGGTGAACAGCTTAGACCAAAACTCGATGCCCCGACACTGTTGCAATTCAAACACTGCCCACACATTGCTACGCATTCTCGTCGTTCTTGTAGAAGAATTCGTAAACTCTGTGTGAAAATTATACCAACAATCGTAAAATTAAACTGGGAAATGTGGAAGGTCTACAGGGCTACCAGAAAAGTCACTACGATTTTCCATATGTTTGCATGATTGATACATGATTTTTTTTTCGTAAAACAGTGGTCCTGGAGGGGTAATTTGAATATTTCGGGAAACAATTGAAAAATCATTGACATCCGTCATCATATTGGCATCAATTTCATCTACATGCCTTTTTTTATTCGAAGCATCTATTAAACTTTTTCCAGAACTTGGTTTATTACTATGCTAGAGGAGCATCGAGATCTTCGAGGCGTTGAGGTGGGCCATAATCGAAAAAAGATTGGGAAACACTGTCGTAATAGAATTGCACACGATTCCGTGTCAAACGTCGCGTGGGAAACGTCGAAGGACTTCGGGTTTGGTGTGTCGTCAATCAACCGGCAGCAATGGCACGCTGAACGGACGACTGGAATTTTACCGTAGTCTCCATGCCAAAGAATCTCGTTATCGTAACCGTGTGCGCGGCGTTCTTGTCGTTTCACAGAAAATGATAATCGACCGGTCTCCGATTTCATTCGGCTCGCGTGCAACGCGAAACACCTAGTGCTTTTTTTCCAAGGAAAATATATAGAGCGACGGAATGCAATTAAAAGTTTTTATTACCCACGGATACAACACGATGCAGTTGGGTGTATATATATATATATATATATATATATATAAATGCAGTACGCTCAACGGAGCCATAAACAGAGATTTGGGCCGACAAAAGATATGGGAAGTGATACTTGACCCCAGATCTCGGCCAGTTCTATCGAAAGCATCCCCTTTCGAAATTACTTTTCCTTTCAAATCGGTTCTAGAAATGTCTGAAAACGGTACTGTATTTAATATATCCGTTTTGTGTACCCGCCAAACCGTATCGTTTATGAATCCTGTTGTTGAGGTCCCAAGTTTCCTACCACGCTATATATCGTATTGTCCACTGTACTTCTTCCTACTTCTCCCTAAGTCCAATAACCCAAACAAAGATGGCTGCCGCCCCCTACCGCGTACAACTGCAACTTACTTTTGTCTCTCCACTTATCCCGCGGCAAGTGTTCGCTTGACCTCGAAGTTGTCCCGAAGCGCGACAAAGGGTCGGTAGAAACGAACCTGAAGAGATCTACTTTTTCCGTCGAAGAACCACGTGTGCTCAGCAATCCATGAATTCCTCCAAATCGATAATTCATCACGGATATTAAAGTGTGCTTCTTCTCCGTTATCTGCGCGATCACGAGTGTATGTTGGGAGGGGGAGGGGGGCTTTATTTTAACCCGGAACGACCGACGGTGGTGGAGCGCACTTGCGCGGCCACTTGCTGATTCAGTTTTCAAATAGAACGCTATTTTCGTTGGTCAGAGGCCGGTTTAAAAGACCTTCCATTCCGAATTCGATTGCCCCCCTCGACCGTCTGCCCGCTCGTTCGCCATTGTCCGTTATTCACGGACGTCGTCACCGAACCTTCTATTATTAGGCCACCTTTGACGGGCTTTGATTCCGCTCGGAAGCTAACGAGCCGGGCACACCTGCCGTATCATGCGTTAAATTTAAATGATCCCCCCCCCCTACGGGTGAAAGTTGTACGGGTGTGTTACAAAACGGCGATCCGCGGCGATCGACCGCCTTTCAGCGCTGGGGCCGTATCGATCCGCGGGACCGAGGAATCGCCGGGGACTGGCGTGTGATTTTGTTCGAACCAATACGCGGCGAGTACATGTGTACTTAAATCGACCGTTCCGGGGATCGTACGATCGATCGTGTACCGAACGGTCGTTTCGAATACTAGTTCGATAGAGAAGTGTGTACAATCGGGCGAATGGCAGTTTCTAGAGTGAGAACTGGACATACGAAACCCTGCCTTCAACACCTCTTTAACGGACAAGGCCGTTATGGGTAATACGCAACACCGAGTTGATTGTGGACCTCATTAACCTTCAATCTAGGAAATAGAACACTGACGGCGAATTGTTTAAGATCGAATTGTGGAGACTCAATGTAATTGATGAATGATATTCCAAAATGGATACTTTTGAAGTACCAGATTTCTATTGGATTATGTTATTTGTCGTGAACCTCCAAAATATTGTTATGTCGCTGGCAACCCATAAGCGATTCATGTGATTGTAACGCTAGAACTACCGAACCCGTCAGAATGACGGATTCCAGATTTTTTATTTTACAATTGTTGAAATCCTAGAGATACTTTCATCGGAATTTATGTTAATTTCTTATACACTTTATATTACAGTATGCTAAACTATATTGCATTATATATTAAACGTATTAATATATTACAAAATTTAACTTAGCATACATTTAATGCTGGTAGTTCTAGTGTTAAATGCCGGTGATTATGAAAATGGCCTAAGTTAATTAAATGTTCTATATCGACATTTTATTATTTTTATATTTTATATCGATGTAACACCAAATAAGTAATACGTTCAGTTTTCTTTAGATATTTTTACTTACAATTTACCACTTTCATAATCACCGGCACAAACAACGGAGATTATTGAGATTCTTAAGCTGCTTCTACACCTAGCGAACGAGCACGAATGAATGTCGCTAGTGCTCGTTCGCCGAGTGTAGACGCAGCTTTATGTTCATTAAACGAAAGATCGATAACCGGCGCCGGTGATTACGATAGTGGCCTGTACCCGTAATTTACAGAAACTGAATTTGCCACTTCTTTGCCGTCCATCGATCCACGATAATTACATTATGATAATATTCGTAGCATCCTTGAAAAAGAGGTTAGGGTTGAAGCAAGCAGCAGCGTATATAGATAGGTTGCGTCATCGCACACGGAGCCTCAAAATACATATTCGAAAAGCGAAAAAATCGTAATATCTCGAAAAGTAAAACGGACAAATGTTTTTCACAAGTCGTGTACCTGCCATTAAACCTCACCCAGGCATTGTCGCGTGACTCACAAAGATAAACGCGTCGAGAGAAAAAAAAAAGCCCCGAAAAAGAATTGTTTATTTTTCACGCGAACGCATAAAATTCACGGTCTAATTATAACAGCATTGGTAAATATTTTGGATTCGATTTATCGTAAGAGCAATATAGATGGAAGAGAATTCTCTCGGGAGAAATTTTCGTGCACAATACACTTTCATGAAAACGGTCCGTAATAAAAAGATGAGGACGCTAATGAGATTAAAAATCGAAAACGGAGTTAACGTGTGTTGCTTCTGCCGCGATTATCATTGTTAACTTAGGTAGAAAGTTCAAACAAACGGTCACACGCCGAATACATAATCCTCACGTGAGCTTTCACTTTCAGGAACAGTTCAAATACAAGAGCCTAGAGAAGCTGTTCACGGTCTACCAGAGGAGGCTTCAGTATGGTTATCTGTCGCTCTTCGTTCTATTGCAATTGGCGCTTGGTACCACGTATTGTTTGATCCTGGTCACAATGGTAAGCAAAGCAAGATTTAACGCAACGCACGTTGTCAATTCACTTTAAATTCTAGACGTACCAATTAACAGTTCGCCATTTTCTTAACGAGACAACACATTTTTCATTCACCTGTACTCCTCTCGATCGATAACAACGGTGACGGAGAACAAAGATCGTGCGGTTTTTTTTGTTTTTTTTTTCTTAGTAAACTATGTTGAATATAAGAAGAAATAATATCTTAATACGATCAGTTTTAGAATTATTGAATTTTTAAGTTAAAATTAGCCTGGACGTAAAAGTGTCATCCGTGTGTCTATTTTTAGCGACCGTTCACCGAGTTCGTAAATGTTTTTTTTGAATTTGAAATTTAATATGCTCCCGTGAAAAACTTCGTTCGACTATTAAGTTCGAAAAATTTGCTTCGCGTTTACTTAGATTTGCATTAATAACGTGACACGTGCCTATAAATTGTACCATATGTATGCATGTACATAAATTAAATTGAACAATTTTAAATTTAAAGTAACTGTCAAACATTTTATCAAGTTGAAATTTACATGTACACCGCATTAACGTTTAAAGTTATCAAAAAACAAAAATAACATATATTACGAGTGTTATAAAAATGTTCGTGAATTTATGAATATTTGTGCTAATACGGTGATACCAAATTTTCCGTCCATACTAATCGTCACGGAAACGTCTTACCACCACCCCATTCAAACATTTCTCCGCATCGTGCACCTCTTAATCAATAATCATACAGGGTCGACCAAAAGTCAGTTTGCAATTTCACGAGAAAAAACGATTCAATTCCATTCCATTCGATTGTGGTCGCACGACTTTCGGACCACCCTGTTACGAGAGCCGATCATCCTAACCGCGCTAATCTATGACCAAGGAGTGTCCTCCTGGTGATTTCGTCTACGATCATCGTCGAGGCCCACCCAGTCTACCAAAAACGACCGCGCCATTAACCGTGTACAAACGGCGGCGGTGTTCTTGTAGGCAAAAATAGACCCAAGGAGACCCGTAGTAGTAATCGAACACGGCTAAACGTCTTTTTTTTTTTTTTTTTTTCATTTCTCCAGGTCAGCATCGAGAACTGCGTGCCGGACGTCGTGGTCTGCATCGTCGGCAGCGCGTTGCTCTGCCCGGTGATCGCCCTGTCCTTCCGTTCGAAGCTAATCGCGAGGAACAACTATCTGCCGGTCATGCTGTCCTGTCTGATCGTGGTGCTGCTTGTGGTCGGCGATCTGGCTGTGCCCATGTACTACACCCTCACCTACACGGATGTCATACCGCCGATAAGGTAGCACCGATAACACGCGCTGGAAGATTCCTAGACGTCTGTTCAAGCCGCCCCCCTTCCATCGTTTAATTATCGACCGCGTCCTTGCTAGTTCTTTTCGCCCGGTTCCCGCCAGGTCTCGCTTCCACGAGAAGCCCAATTACGAAGGATCGACGGACCACTTATCATGGACCACTTAAAAATGCTTCCTACTACTTAGTAAATTTATTTCAAGTACTAGAATAAGTGTTAAACCAATTGTTAATTTGGCATAAATTTCTGTAATTCCCAAAACTAAATGGTAGAAGGCCTTCCGTCTACTAAACGTTTTCCCCTAGCGGAAACCGATAGTTTGCTCACCGGTGTACTTCCTAGAACGTTTCTCGCGTCAATCACAAGAGAATTTGATGTACGTTTCGAACGCGATAACTTCGGGGACGATACATGTACCGGTCGTCGTTCATCGTAAATCACTATCTCCGTGGGACTGTCGTACGATGGGAGGAACACTCCGTGTAGACGGGGGATTTTCCATTCCACGCGCGGCGGATGGACGTTAACGGTGACTATTATTACCCGAATATAGAGGGACCCACTTCGGTGGTGGATGGGGGATACAAGAATAGTGATGAAAGGTCACGAGAATCGCGCGTGTGTGTGTGTGTGCTGTTATTACACATCGTCTCTGAGTGCCGTCATTTTTGCACTTTAAATACAATTCGGACTGAAGTTCTGGCGGCAATTACAAAAAAAACGGTTCTGACCTCGAGGATCTTTACTAGTACCCTCACGAGCAAACTCCGCTTCCGTAAGGGGTAAAAGGGGCGAAGGGAAAGGGCCATCTACCATTTGGTTTTGGAAGTTTCTGAAATTTATGCCAAGTTAACATGCATTTTAACATTTATTTCAGTACTTTAAATAAATTTACCAAGTGATAGGAGGCCCTTCTACGTTACTTTTTCCCCTAGTGGAAGCCGAATTTGCTCATGAGTGTACCGATCTGGCGAAATAGGTGTCTCCGTTTGTAGCTCCGCTAAGTTTACTGTCTCATCGTATAAGCTTTCATTCTATCTCACTCTCAGTATGTTTGTATACATATATATATATATCCTACTCAGATTTCACCACACGCAAATTCTCGAACGATCGGTCCGAAGTTTCATGAAATCTTGTGAAACTTCGCTCGTATTATCGTGGGATCGAGTAGATCGTTTGTCTATACATGAGATCGATCATATGACTATACATTTGACTGTACCTTCCACTTCGTATACGTTTCGAGTAGTTCCTATAAAGGTGTGTAAGCAATAGCACGTTACCGCGCGGACAAAAATGGCTGTAATCAAAGAGGCAAGGTCAAACGGGACACTTCATATGGAACCATCTTTATCGTTTTTGGATTACCCACCTCTCCCCGTTTGGTCACGTCTCGTCGTGAAATGAAAGTAATGTAGGGGTAAGGGACTCCTACAGCTGGGCCTTGGAGGGGAATATCGAAATTCCCCTCTCCCGGGAGATCACGTTCTAAACTAAACTAAACTAAATTAAGGGACTTCTACCGCCTGATAAATTTAACTGAATGTTAATTTGGCATATATTTCAGTAAATCTCAGCCCAGCTGGTCTTTTTCTTACAACACTTTATTTCCCTAGCACAAGCCGAGTTTGCTCGCGAGGGTACGTGTTGGCCGATTGGTTTTCCACATTTTTTTTCCTTAACATGTGCTAATTGCCGATCGTGTTTCATCTTTTCCGCTAACGACCAGGTGGTAGCCATGAACTTAACACACGCTCGACACGTGCAAACTGCGTTTCTTCTTTTAGACCGGCGTACGCAACGCACGCGCTGCTGGCCTGCTACGTCTTCCTACCGCTCACGGAGAATCTGCACGCTTTCATACTCGGGATCACCGCAACCATATGCTACCTGGCCACGCTCTCGTTAATCACTTACAGCAACACGTCCGATTACGCCGCCAAGGTAAACCGCCGATGCCCACGGGCATTTACTTCCATTCGCGTGAATTTCCGGCCGAATAAATAATGGATAAGAAGCGATAATACGCCGTTTAAGATAATTACGGGGATCACCTAGTCAAATAGGTTTATCGTCGACGGGGCTGGGTGGCCACGTCGGGTGTCAATGTGTCAGGGTCAACTTTGACGATGTCGCGTGTCTACAGGCTGTTTCAATAGCGCCGGCCGCGTGATGCCTGTGCTCGAGAACTCTCGCGAACGAAGGAAATAAAAAGGATTTAGTCGAATAATACAGTGGTATAATTATCCAGATAGCACATGACGCCTGGAAGACGGCTTAAAGGCGCCTCATATCTAAAATAACCGTAAAATAGGCGTCTTCAAGGCGTAATGTGTTATCTGGGTAGCACGGATAAATAATTCCACAAATGATCACTTTGTAAGGTAGATTCTGGATATACAAGAAAGTGTTAGGTGTATTTAGAAATTAATTTATATCGAAACATGTTTATCATTCACGTTACACAACCCTGAATCATCCTGTACGAGATACGCGGGGACGTGATGAATTAAATACACGGAACTGAGATTTTATTAATAAAAAAAAAATTATCCGTTTATCTTGATTAGGAACGTGATTCTCGCTATCCCAGGATGTTTCATAACCCCAAGGACGCGAAAGTGATAAAAAAAAAAAACAGTCAATCATTGCTATTAAGCGTATGTTACCGTTTCCGTGAAAATGAAGTAATATGGTTCTTAGCACTTCGAGCACAAGTGTTTAGCGGTTACACGACTGTAATTATCCACTCAATCGAGTTACAACGAATGCTTTGGAAAGATTAATATGTGAGGGATTGTAATTTTTATAGTTAATGAGACATTCTATATATTTCGTTAAATAATAATGTTGATATACCAAAAAATGATGGGATTAGATGCACGATATACATGTTTGAAACGTGATTCCCCTAATCATCCCCGGAGTGTACTCATCCTGACTCGCAATCGCAATCCTTTTCTATTTCTGACTTTTCCAGATAATCACAGACACGATATATTTTATTTGCGTGAATGGCCTAGGATTGTACTTCAGGTTCATGAACGAGGTTGTGATCAGGCGGTCCTTCCTCGATCGTCGGAAATGCGTCGAGTCGACGCTGAGATTGAATTACGAGAAAGATCAGGAAGTACGTTCTCCGATCCGATAAATATACTTCCCGCGATAACTCCGCGAACTTATCCGTGGAAATTATCGACGAACATTTTGCAGGAGCAACTGACGCGGAGTATATTGCCGCAGCATATAGCCGCGAAGATTAAAAAAGATTTCCGTGACATAATCAAGTTCATTGAGGAGCACAAGAAGCCTCCGCCCAAAGGACGACCCCACAAGTAGGTATACATATCCTCTGTTTCACATTTTCTGCCCAAGAGAGCACGAACATCGTTGACAAAAGAATATTATCGTTTACAGTGATATGTGCGTCGAGACACACAACAACGTGAGCATTTTGTACGCGGACGTGGTGAATTTTTCCGGACTGACCGTGACCTTGCCGGTTCGAAAGCTGGTAGAAACGCTGAACGATCTGTTTGGTAGCTTCGACGAGGCATCCGAGAGGCACAATGTCCTGCGGATCAAGTTCTTGGGTGATTGTTATTACTGCGTGAGCGGTGTGCCCACACCGAATTCTCAACACGCGAAAAGCTGCGTGGATCTAGGTACGGTTCCTTGGAACTTTCCTCCGATCCACTTAACCTCTAAAGTGATCGTTATGAAACGGCTTCTTTAAATAGAAACTAAAATCTGTGTCATCGTGGTTACAGGACTGGACATGATAAAGATCATCAAAGAGGTGAGAGCCAGGGTACGCCGGGAGAGCGGCGTGGAGGTGAACATGCGGATAGGGGTCCATTCGGGGAACATAATATCTGGTATTCTGGGCACGAACAAATGGCAGTACGATGTTTGGTCACGCGACGTGGTTATAGCCAATAAAATGGAGCAAACGGGGAAACCCGGTAAGGTGCACGTTACGCAACAGACGTTGGATCTCGTGGACGCGACCGAGTACGATTGCGTGCCGGTCGAGTCCTTGAACGACGAGATTCTGAAGAAATACGGGATCCGTAGCTACCTGATCACACCTTCGTGCCCCGACGAGCCACTGCCTACGCAGGTGCGTATCTCCCAGTGGCGTAGGAAGCCAATAAGGAAATATCATACATTCGAAAGAGAGGCTATTGCACCCCCCCATTGAACGAGGGTGTTGTACAGGCTGTTCCTACGCCACTGATCAAAGTCGTGTGACCGTTCGAACGAACTTCCGTTGAGGGTTTCGCGTCGTTGACAGGCGAACCTTGTTGCAGAACAGCGAGAACACCTTGACGGTCATGGCTCCGGATTCCCCACCGGTGGCGAACACACATTACGTGAGATTCTACAACGTACGGTCCAGCAGCGTCAACTCCGGCTCTAGAAACAGCAGACGGCTGACCACTACTATAAATAATCATGTTGACGTGCTGGCCGGCACTTACAGACGGCGAACACACTTTATGGATTCATGTCTGAAGGATTATCATCTGATGCTGAAAGCCGCGGACGCCGAGATGGAGGATGCCATTAAGCAAATGCCACTCACCAAGTGGGAGTAAGTAACGAATTGGTTCCGGTACGACACTGTTGATCACGGATGATAGGTGTCTTTCATGGGATTATACTCCCTCTCTACACGTATGATATCTATTATTGACCGAATGTGGGCGATAGTAGTGGAAACAGGAGGGCGAGTGATCTCGAGAACACTGAATGTAAAGCAAGGTGTGGTCAACTTGGTCAGAGTAGAGCACCACTGTCCGACATAAGCCTGGGAGCTTGAGTTACTTCCTTCGCTCTGTTTTTATATGCATCCTATATAAAGAGAACGTGTGTACAGAATGATACAAGATCGCGTAATTAGATTCATTTCGTCGAGAATATTACCATACTTTGGTTTCTATTAATTCCCCCACTCCGGCTTATTTAGCCCCCCGATCCCATCTTCAGATTAATTTGCCCACTCGTCCTTCGATAGATCCTGCATTCTATATCTGTTCCCCTTCTTCCATTAAATTGTATACAAAAGGGGATATAACCGCTTAGGGGATACCTCATCTATGAACAGCGTTGAACTAGGGGAACTATGTAGCTTTGCTAGAGTCGGGAGAACTGACAGAAACAAAATGGAACAAGGAATGGAGGGAGCTTATATTAGCACTACAGTAACATTAATTATTTTAATAATTATTTACATGTTCGTTTCAGACAATGGTGCAGATGGAAACACATAAACCCATTACTGTTAACGTTTCGTCAATGGAGCTGGGAGATACCGTTTCTAAAGGAACCCGATCCACTTTTCAAATTTTACATCTGCTCCGCCGGTTTTGTTCTAATCTTTATGGGACTCATTTATTTGGTACCTACGCTTTCTTACTCCGAGTATGTTCTCTTCGTAAGACCGACTGGTCAGTAATCCGCCTACGATCATAAGACACACAGAGTCTTTAGAACGGTTAATTAATTTTCCAGGTGGCACGTGGGCACAGCGATCACCTATTCGGTGGCGATGCTGTTCCTAATCGTTTTGATGCCAATCGCCTGGATGCATTTCGCGTGGAACCGATACAAGGATCCACACGGCGAGCATGAGGGCCAGATTCCCCATCCACGTAACAAAATATTGTGTTTTCTTTATCACAGCAGCGTGAAGGTCAATATCGTGTTCTACTTTCCACTCGATTTGCTTCCAATCCGGTCTAATAAATCTTTATGTCATATTTCAGGTGGTGTGGAGCGCTTATCTTAGGACCATTCTCTACTTGGTCATAACGATCATGTTAGCCGCGTGTGCCATGTTTGATATGATTGTAAGCGAACGATAATAACGAAATAATCGTATGGATTAGAATAAATTATTATACTCTGTAATTTCAGTTCGAATGCAAGAACGTGAACGATCTTGCGAGTAATAACGTAACGTCCAGCGTAGTAGAACCCGGTGCTGCTCAGCTCGAGTGCGTGGCTACACCTTGGGTAAGATAATTTAGTAGGTACTTGGTTGCTGTAGATTTCCTTTCAGTCGACGTTACGCAGAGACTATAGAACAATCTTCTTAATACCAATTGAATTGATTGCTGTTGTTTTTTTTTTTTAGCAAATGACGCAAACCTGCTCCTTGGCAATCCTAACGAGTTTTTTGTTTCTGAGAGTCCATTATCTCCTAAAGCTAGTAATAGGCATCGCTGTAGTGGCATTTTATTCGATCACTGTTTGGATACATCGTTCGAATTTGTTCCAGGTAATGATTCCGTCACCTCTAGTGCTTAATCTTTTCAATTAGTGTGGATTAGTATTAGCAATCCTTTCTTTTCATTTGCTGTTTTGTCCTCCACAGTCTGGAGAAAGGTGGAATCCACACTTAGAACCGAGACTGGCACACATTTTAAGCGTAGTTTTTCTTACATTTTCTTTGCACCTCATTGATCGTCAGGTGAGCTATCCCGAATTAGAAAGTAGCTGAACGATTACATTTATATATTCCTGTTAACTTCCATGGTAATCCATTTAGGCGGAGTACTTGAGTAGGCTAGATTACCTTTGGAAACGTCAGCTAACGAAGGAACAGGACGAGGCGTTTCATACGAGGAACGCGAATAAACTTTTGCTTCGCAATATCTTGCCAGAACACGTTGGTATGTTAAGCAGTATTATAAATAATACACGAAACGATCATTAAAACGTATTCTATCTCATCTGTCGTTTTATAGCGGACTTCTATTTGAACATGAACCGAATCGAAGAAAACGAGCCATATCATGAAGCACATAACAATGTAGCAGTCATGTTTGCTTCATTAACGGATGTGAGCATTGATGAGAGTAACATTCTGGTAGATCTCAATGAAATCATCTGTGAATTCGATAAATTATTGTTCGAATCGCAGTTCGTTTGTCGAATCGAGAAGATCAAGATTGCTGGTAAGTAATGGGACGCTAAGATAACCTCAAACCAAAAGTTATTGGGATAATTCGCCAGCATTTACCTAACCCAGACCTCCATTACATATTAATGAATGTTATATCGGATATTATAATTTCTAAAGGCACCACGTACATGGCAGCCTGCGGATTAGAAGCCAGTCGACGGGATTCAATGCACAGTGCGGAAAGCGATGAAAATTTTGGCGACAACGTGGTCAAAGTGATGGCTCAGTTTGCCGCTGAAATGATAGCAGTTCTTGACAGGCTGCATAATAGACCCTTTCGTACAAAGAAACCCTACAGGTACTGTTCCACACCTGCAACTGAACTGGTACTTGAAAACTAGTGTATTCACAAAGGACAAAACGTGACATTTCAGATTGAGAATTGGAATATCTCATGGAGAGGTCACAGCAGGCGTAGTGGGTGCTCAGAAGCCGTTGTATGATATTTGGGGGGACGCTGTGAATATGGCGTCGCGGATGGACACAACAGGTGTCCCGGGAAAGATACAGGTCCGTTTGACGTCGAACTGTTAACCATATGTATATTATAATGCTCTCTATTTTACAAGAAGATAATTAATTGTCATCTGTATGCATATGTATGCGCATATAGATACAAAGCATCATATTACTAGCACAGTTACACGGTTTGATAAAACATATCGGTAATAAACACATTGTCTTCATTACCATATCCAAGATTACTTTCGTCACTGAAACGTGTTTGTTTCGCGTTGTTGTCCATGCAGGTTACCGCGGAAACCGCAGCCGTCCTGGAGCAACAGGGCGTCAAGTGCCACCTTCGAGGAGAAACATACGTAAAACCAAAGGGATACGTGACGACCTACTTCGTGGGCATGGACGAGCACCGAAAGCTTCAGAGAACCGACTCTGTCGAGGAAACCAGTCTGTGATCCTTATCGCGATACTGACACTGAACGGATCAACCTGTCTTTGGTCACGGTGATTCACGGTGGCCGACGAATCATGTGTGAAAGTGAGATATTAGGTACCTAAGTGAACACGGAGGAACAGGAAGATAAACCAAAGAGAACCCGAGAGACCAAAGAACTGACGAGATGCGCAGTCCGACGGCTGTAATTCTGTGCGAAAATACCTCAAAGCTTACTCAAACGGTCATCGAGTTTGCAGTCACGCGTCCGAGCTCGATTGCCCGGCCAAGTGAGAACGCGACTTCGTTGTACGAGAAGAATGAGAATTTTAATAGCGTCTTTTTACATGGAAACCGAGAACGATTTTGCACGATCGATTTTCTGTGCAACGCGGCTATGCCGCGAAAATACCATACATCAGCGTTTTTCAATCTGTAAAGATGCCACTCTCTATGGAATTGTGGTCCTAAGTAAAGAGTCGATATTACAATTACTAAATATCATATTATTTAATTGGTTAGAACGTTTGTATTGTACATAAGCGAAGATGTTTTTAAAACGATTACACTTTGAAGACGCTGTCCTGAGTGATGCACGACGATCCAGTTGAAAGTACGATGAAACAATCAGTGATAAAGCCACTCGCGTGTGCGGTAGCCATTTTGAATGTATGAAGCGGAAAAAAAATTAGTCGTTGAGAAGATTGTAAAGCTGTACGAGTACTCGAGAAAAAAGAAAACGTGGTCATTAAGCATTTCGAATTCTTAAAGAACCAATTACTTCGCTCGAACTTTGAGTACTTCGAACTACCATATGTACGTTGATCTGGATTTCAAGTGTTTTACTATTTCAGGAACTCGGTCAGAATCTTAAGTACTCGTATCCTTCGAGCTACGCTATTCTGGTTGTAAGTACTTAAACCTTGGAGCACTTGTGCCGTTGAATACTTTGATCCAATTGAAAGTACTTATATTTTCGAGTACTCTGCGACAATTTGGAGTACGTATAATTTCGACCATTTCGTTCCAATTGGAAGTACTCCAATTCAAATTTACGTAATCGAATATACCGTTGAAGTTTGCGTACTTGAATACCATTAATTTAAACAAAAGCTGAGAATTCGATTGGCTAATTTTTTTTCTCTCTGTCTCTCTCCTCGGAAGAGTAATTTTCTGCAAGCGAGAAATTGATGTATAGCGATTCGAGAGATAATCAAAACAGATATGATACTTTATTTATATCGGTGCATGCGAATGATGATAATGATGTTTTTCAACTGTATGTTAAATGTACAATGTACCGTGTTCGGTAAAGAAAAGGTAGCTAGTTCAAGATATTTATTGACGTAAACTGTTCCGGGATCGTGACAGAAGGCGAACGTTTATTGAATGAATGTCCATCCGTACGATTATTGTCCGTGCTAAAAGTCACAAAAAAAATCATTGCGACCAAAGGTGCTCGTGAATTTCATAACGTAGTCTTCGAACACACGGATGATTATAGACTTTCCTTCATTCACGTCAAAGATAAAATGTTTCGTTCGAATGCGTCCATCTAGGATATCATAATTTCATTTGTAATGTGTAAGTTCTTTACCATGGCGTATTGTTTTTATAGATTTCTTTTCGATACGCGAAAACGATTTGAAATTTATTAATGTAATTTCATATTTTCAGTCACATGAAAAGTTCGAAACTCGTGTTTAATCGGTAATTTATTGTAAAATCACTCTTCTCGTGTGATACGAGTGCCCTTTTGAAAGTGCAGTGTACGCATGGAGGCATTCTGTATTTCCATTTTACCTAATCGTTCTACGAGAATAAGACGTGACTTGTTTTTAATGAAACAATTAATACTTTCATTAAACAATTCATTTCCTTCTTGTGTCCCAATTTATACACCGCGCGCTTCGTGAAGTAACCTCCCTCACTCTGCTTGTAAACATACAGTTGTTTTTATTTTTCTATCGATTACATTATTGGCGTGAGCAGCGCTCGTTTTTTCCGTGTAAATACTTTTGTACATATATTTTTTTAACTGTTAGAAATAACGACCAATGTGATTATCCGACGATTCGAATAAAGTATGTATTTATTACTACGCGCATGACATGCAAAGGTAATTTGTAAACAAGCAAACATGAAAGAGCGTTGTAAAACATTCTTCGACGAGATGTTTCTACGGTCGAATAAAAAGTCTTACCACATTTAAAAGAGTATCCCTATGTAGTACTGTCAAAAAATCAATGGTTCTTTTTTCTTAATATTTTCTAATAATCTATATCTTTCTAAATATCTAAGATTCTAAAAATATCTTCTATAATTCTAGCATCGGTGCTACGAACAATTTGTTTGTGCCTTTTGTACAAATCAAGCCGTTTTCAGAAGAACGATAATTCTCACTATATTCAACGGTCATTCCTCCGAACACCATCCGTTCGAAACATTTCAAGTACAAAATAACAAAACAATACCATTTGAAAGATAACGTTCTCACAGTTTTTATGAGAAAAACAATAATCATTCTACAACTTTTTAACCTTCCTCAGAAGTTTCGATAAACGAAATTCCTTTCCAATTAAATGCCCAGTAATGATAATACATGTTCCCAAGTGGAATGAATCATCGCGTTAAGTGATAACATCCGTGTAATACATTCAGAAATAGTTTCAACGTTCCGTGCAATTTAACGGGACGAAGATTCCATGATAAAGAATCGAACAACGTGGCAACACGTCGTAATTAAGGATATTTTTAGCGAAACGGAAAGGAGTTAAAATGCACGGCGAAGAAGTTTCCTGACGGGACGCGGGTATTCAATAATCGCGTGCATGCGTGTAATACAAGTTCGTAGTTCTCCACGCGAATGGTATTGTTCTTCAATTTCACGGGAAATGGCAGCAAGGACGGTTTCCCATGCGTAGTGACCCCGTTTTTTCCTTCGAAGCACCGTTTATTTGTCCCGATATGCGACCGTCGCGTAGAATTACGGGTACGCCTACGTCGTGACGAACAGTGGTGACGGCTATATTCATTCAAGACCTCCCCGATACACATTATCGATTTACGCGAAGTTTTAGTGCTTCGCGTTGTGAACTTGGTACATTTTTAGGCACGACAGAAGAGTTTATGTATTTACATACAACAAACTCACGTAGGAGAAATACGTATTTTATGACGGGAACCGTATGACTCAACCCGCGAGTCGATCGTCCCACTGCTCATTTTATTGACAAGAGTGGGACAACGTACTAAACAGATAATTCTTTGACGTTTGAATTGTCATTGTATACTGCGTACCCGTGAATATTGCCTCGCGCAGATCTCTCGCATCGAAACACGCAAGTGTAACGCTAATTTTACGTATAATCACCGACCGTTTTTGCCTTCAAGTTTGGATAGTTGTGAGAGTGAATTCCATTGTAAATGATCTCAATGTGTTAGCCAGCAAGTAAATAACCTCTATAAAGGGGTTACTTTTCTTCTCTGTTTCTCTCTTTTATACAGTAAAGGATAATACAATAGTTGAAACCCTAGCCTAATCGAAGGTCCAGTCAATATGGATATTGGATTTTCATCGTACCACAATGGTGGTCCTGCGAGGGAACTAGATTTTGGTAGGCTTTCGCAAACAATTGGCACATCGATTCTCAAGATATCTCAAAATGGTATGTACCTTGAATTCTATTAACATTGACGAGTATGGTGTTCATTTGGCTTATGTTCGACAGTATCTTCCATGCAAAAGATGGTCAATCAATTGGGAGGTTCCACAGACTCTCAGGAACTTCGGAACCAGTTGTAAGTATAAAATTAGCAATAATGACCCTATAATGGCACAAAAATGTAAGATGATTAAATGATATAACTGGTTGTTTTTTCTTTCAGACACCAAATACAACATTACACACAGCAGTTGGCAAAAGACACTAGTGTACATCTTCGGGAATTAGCTATATTAGCTAACAATTCAGGAGCAACCAGTCCTGGCGAGCAAAGACAACGTAAAATGCAAAGGGAGCGTCTCCAAGATGAGTTCACAAGTGCATTAAATTCTTTCCAAGTGAGTATTAGTTTAATTTATTCAGATGACATCAGGTATATTTACGCAGGTAGATTCATCTATATATTGTTTTAGGCAGTACAAAGGCTTGCAGCTTCCAAGGAGAAGGAAATGGTTAAAAAGGCAAAAGAAAATTCGGGTATTACACCATTTGGAGAGAAGAAACAGGAGACATTGATAGAATTGCAAGATAGTAGAACTCAGAAGCAAATACAACAGCAGCAGATGAAAGAAGAACAAAATTTGCGAATGCTGGAAGAACAGGAAGCGAGCATAAGGCAATTGGAGGTATATGTTTTTTCACATTAAAATTAGAAAAATTTTTGCAACTTGTAGTAATATATGTTGACCGCGTAAATCATTATTTTTTTAGAGTAATATCAGCGATATTAATCAAATCTTCAAAGACCTTGGTACTTTAGTTTACGATCAAGGAGAAGTGATTGACTCTATAGAAGCTTCAGTTGAAAGAACAGTGGTATCCGTCAACGATGCTACATCGCATGTAAGGCAAGCAAGCATGTACCAGAATAAACTGCGCAAGAAAAAATGTATACTCGTTGTCATTGGAGTAGTCGTACTCTCTATATTAATCGGAATTATAGTTTGGCAGAGTTCTTAAATTTGTTCATACTGAGACCGATAAAGTTGTGCGGTAGTTGATGTTAATTGCGTAGCTGTATCGTAACTGCAAGGAACCATGCATTCGTGTACTTTCGAAAATGGCCCTCGATTGATTTACAGTTGCTTTAAAATTAAACGGAACATTGCATAGTACTATCAAGGAGAATGAACGCAAAGAAACTTGCATCGTTCTGTATCTTACTGATAACATTCTTGTAATTGTGATAATAAATGGTGCAAGATCTATTTTGCAAGTAAGGTGTACAATGGCGAGTCTGTGACTGCCCTGTCCATTTATACGTTTCATTACTCATTGCATAATACTAGCCCATAAATGTACCTATAAAAGTATATACATGTATACACATAGATCTGTCGCTGGTATAGTTGTGATCAATATTCCATATGACTTTAAAGAGTATACTCAGAGAGTATGGGGATTCATTTGAAATATTACGCATGTACACTTTGAAACGAGAATGTTACGTGGAACGTATGAATCTATGTGGAGTGTGTGCGTTGATATAATCATTGTATAGTATGTAAATGCGTTCCGAACGTCCTAAAAAGTGTTATTAATAATGTCGAAATGAACAATTAATAAGGGTATGCAAAACAACAGAGAATATGAATGAAATAAGTTTATGTATTATATTTAAGAATGTCGATTTATTTTAATCAAAATATAATAAACTATAATAATACAAAGTACATTCTACTAAATTTAAACAAAATGACTATTGTATGATTCATATTCAATCTCAACATTTATTAAACTGTCTAAAGAAAAGGTTACTTTTACTTTTTACTATACAGTTATATGTAATTATAATTCGCGCGGTTCTTCTATTTTTTCTTATGTGCTATTTTAGCGCCCCCAACCGAGTCGTTCGGTTTAACAAGCTTTCGGAAATAGTAGAAGTCAAAATGTTATCCCATTCAACCATAGACATAGAAATAAAGACTGCGCGTCAAAATGAAACGGACGTCCCAACTTTAGAAAGAGGTAAATAGCTTTTCGTGGAGTTGGCATCTCTTTCGGCTTACAATTTCGCTTGCGGGAATGCTTTACCATAATGAGCCATCTTGTGGCCGCGGGATTCCGGGAATCGGGTGACGTCACGGCGTGCGAGCGAGAGCGGTAGAGCGAGCCACGGTATCGGTGCTCTCCGTCGGTGTTGACGCGTGCCGAAGAATTTCGGTGGTCTATGGGAGGGAGGTGTGCGAGCGAGAGAGTACGGTAGAGCGTGCCGAGTATCGGTGCTCTCCGTCGATCCAACGCGCTAGTGAGTTGCGTCACCCAGTTTATTGACTTAGCCGTGTACGCCGTGTACCAAGGTCGTACCATCCCGTGCAGGTCTGTGCTTGTGCTTGCTTCCTCACTTTGTCGTGAACCGTCGCGGAGGGTGGTCGCGCGTCTCATACTCGTCCTTTCTCTTGTTACTAACCCATTGTTTGTTGCAGGCATTCGACAACCATCAATTTATTTACTGTGCATATTGTTGTGTCCCCTCTCTTGTTACTAATCCCTTATATGTTACAGATGTTCGAGAACCATTGGCTTCGATATTTATCTTCTTATGTACTGTGATTCATTTAATGTGATTTATTTACTGTGCATATTATTTATTTATTTACTGTGCATGTTACTAATCTATATACTGTGCATATTGTTGTGTCCCCTCTCTTGTTACTAATTCCTTGTATGTTACAGATGTTCGAGAACCATTGGCTTCGATATTTATTTTCTTATGTACTGTGATTCATTTACTGTGATTTATTTACTGTGCATATTATGTATTCTATGTGTATTGTATAATGAAAAATATTTTTCCAAACAGTTATTCCATCGAAAGAAGACATCGATCAACGTCTACATCTTCAAAGCGTGCGTCTACCACTGCGTTAAGTTACTGTAAGTTAAACTTAAATCATAATTCGATATTCATTGTTATATTCATATTCATCATCACATCGTTTATTATTAATTTTAGTCTATCTATTAATAGACTTAAATTGTGATCAGCCATTGTGCATACCAAGTTATTATTAATTCATTTTGCTCGTTGATTTCTCTACACAGACTTGGGGTATGGGCAGTGGGTCTGTACCTATTATGGTACGGGCAGTGGGCCTGTGCACTAAGACTGTTTGCCGATCCCTCTGGTTTCTATTGAGAAGCCAGATATCGGACGTGTTTAGTCTTTGCCTGGTAAGTAGGATTTGGAGTAAAGGCTCGTGCGCGCCTGGGTACAACGTACCCGCCTACGGAGTAGACGGGAGTCTGCTCCGTAAAAGGACTCTGTTTTACAGGGGATCTCGCTTGCACTACCATACTTGGTCATGACCTGTGCTCGGGTCTGGTACGTAGGTGACCAGCCCAAAGGGCCTGGAAAGTGAGAGATGGATTCGGGTTTGCGAGGTTGCGCCCGTCTTTCCTATTTTCTTAAACCAGGTTCTGGCGACAACACTTTCATCGCGATACTTGTTCATACTGTAGTTTAACGTGGTTCATCGTAGAATTAATTTTTGGCTTGGTATATTAGGTGCGTAAACGAAATGATCGATGGAACTTTTTCCATTCCGTCTATCTCTTTCGTTTGAGTATTAGCGACTACGTTGCGTTTAATTTAAGTTATTTTGTATTAATAGCATTAATTCGTATTAATTAGAATATTAAGATAATATTAGTTCTAAGCTGAAGAACGAAGACAACCGACGAGGGAACTTAGTTTTTTATAGGTTTAGGCTCAAGAAAGAAGTCATCCGCCGAGGGATTTTAGTATCGGTAGTATTATATAGTTAAGATTTAAGTAATTTATAAGGTTTATTGTGAAAGGTGGGTAGATGTAGAACTTGTGATTCCATCTACTTGCCTTGGGCCTCCACTCGCAGCAACCTCCTCGTGGTGAGGCCTGGGCAATCGGTATTGTCATCGGTAAAATACTGTAAACTGAAGACAATATCGAGCCAATGGCTGCGAACTTCGAATATATCTCATGAAACTACGTTCTATATTACATCGTACTAGGATTATTTTAGAAATCGATATGAGATTCAAAGTGTAAAAATGTCTAGTACTTTGAATGTTTTAGAAAATTATTCGAGTTAAAAATGCATGGAACTACTGAAATTACTTTCCATTCCCTTTCCTTATTATGTAAATTCTTTGATTGGAATTGGAATGTTGCTGGAAGTATGAACATTTTCACAGGACAATGATATAAATGAAATTTTAACACTTTTTTAAGTGTTACTTGTGAACTGCTACTTGTGAATCACTCGTGATTCGATCACGTTCGTTCCCAATCACGATGATTTTTCACAGTGATTCGTGATTTCCCGTGATCGTTTCTTATTGGTGGAGAAACCTAACAGTTCTTTACACGCGACACATAATCTGTATATTTTATATTAACGACATCAAAACAAAAATTCGAGTTATATCGTATAAAGTGAAAGAATAATTAGAAACAATGAAGAATAATGAATAAATTAATGATTATAAATTATAATCTACATGTTACCTAGCAAATCATTCTTTTAGAATTTCTTGTTTTTTCTACTGATTTTTACAAACACAGTAATGTAATTCATCGTAAAATCATATTGAATACGTTTTTCTGTTTAAAGATTAATGACTTACGATTGCAGTGAGCAAATTCACTCAAGATAAAAAAATCGCAATCACGGTCGTGAATGAAGTTAAATCACGATCGTGATCGTGATTTGGCGATCACTGTGATAAATCACCGTTAGTGATTTTGCACGCCATCTCTAGTAGGCAGTAGTTAGTTTCTGTAGTAAGCCAGAGACCTCGTATGGTGAGAACGTGGGGTCATATAACCCCCGGTGGAGGCGCCAGGGACCCTGTGTGGTGAGAACGTGGGGTCATAGAACCCCGGCGGAGGCGCCCGGGACCCTGCGTTGTGATAACGAGGGGTCATTGAGCCCCCGCAGCAGCCGCCATTGAACCCGTGTTGTGCGAGCGTGGGGTCATAGAACCCCCTGTGGAGGCGCCAGGGACCCCGTGTGGTGTGAGTGGGATCATAGACCCCCGTAGCATGTTGCTCTATGTTCTTCAAGGTATAAGGAAGAATGACGTACAACTGAGACTTGTTGATGTTAACCTACGAAGTTTCATGTTGAAGATGTTATTGGTATCATCGTAATTAATCAGTATAAATTATTACAAACGTACAAAGTAAGAATTGCTTATTTTATATTTACATTTATAATAAGTATCCTCTGTACAAAGAATTGCTAAAATTTCATTCTACGAAATATTTATTCCAAACCAGATGAGTAGTGCAGACGAAGGTACAACTAAAATTAAATTTAAGAAGAAATTTAAGAAACCAATAAGAAGGAGACAAGCATCGTCAGATGAGGACGACAATAAGAACGAAGAAACATCTGTCAGGTAACTGGAAAGTATGATTGTATAGACGACAAGATTATGTTGATTTATGACTAATATCTGTCAAAGTGTTATTTGATTAATAGATAATAATTACATTCATATTATTAGATTATAATGAATACAATGTTTATTTAGAGCAAAGGTTGAAGACTTGAAAATTGTACAGAAGCTTAGAGAACGTCCGAAGGGTGTAAACATTGTTGGTCTAGCACTGGGAGAGAATGTAACTTCTGATGTAATGACTGTGAGTTTTATAACACAATTGGTAAATCATACAATTTTGGGAAATTCCTTTATTGAAGAGAAAACTTTTTTTATAGTCAGATCCTTTTAATATAAAAACTGGAGGAATGGTAAACATGGCTGCATTGAAAAATACAAAACTAAAGCAAAGTGATGCCTATGAAACAGGAATTGGTACACAGTTTAATGCAGAAACCAATAAGCGGGATGAAGATGAAGAAATGTATGTTCCAAAGCATTTTATAGTTTTCATGAAGTTGTTTTAATTTAATTAATATTTTTTTCTCTAATTAATAGGGTAAAATATATTGAAGAAGAATTATCAAAGAGAAAGAGCAAAAATGAAGACAAAATAGAAAACGGATCGAGTAATGATAAAGGATCCTATTGTTCCCCAGAAGAAGCAGCATTACAAGCTGTACCTGAACACCTGAGGCAAAGTTCAGCAAATAGGAGTGAAGAAATGCTCTCAAATCAAATGTTGTCTGGTATTCCAGAAGTAGATCTTGGAATAGAGTACGTTTTTCTGTGTTTTGTTACTCGAATAAATTATAAGTAATTTATCCTTTTAACTCACACATCACTTACATATTTTAGAGCAAAAATTCGCAATATTGAGGCTACAGAGGAAGCTAAGTTGAAGTTACTTTGGGACAGGCACAGAAAGAAGGATGGTCCTTCACAATTCGTGCCAACAAATATGGCTGTGAATTTTGTACAACACAATAGATGTATGCTATTTAATTTTATTTTACATTCTGCTAATTTATAAAGTATGTCAAACGTCACAGAAACACAGTTTACTCCATTTTTGTAGTTAATATAGAAGACACAGATTTCCAAAAATCAAAACAAGATTCTGATGATAAAAAGAAAGTGACAACACCCAGAGATGACACCAAAGGGAAGAGAAAGGACAATGGAGAAAAAGCAACCGACGACTACCATTACGAAAGGTTCAAAAAACAATTCAGGAGATTCTAAAATACTTGTAAAATAATCGCTCAATAAATATGTATATCTTTGTAACATATTATTTATGTATAAAGAGTGAGTCAATAAATTTTAGCCTAATAGTAAAGCTCATAGTTTTATGTATTACATTACTAGCTAATATAATAAATTCATTTCCTTCCTTCATTTCCTACGACTGAAATCAAGACATATATAAAACTGAAGATTAATTCCCTTCTTTAATTTCTATCACTCCAAATAAACAGGCCGTTCCTGGGTTGTCCGCCGAGTTACAAAAAAAAATGTCGCTCTTATTAATTTAATATTATTTAATTATGAATTCGATATGGAGTGTTTACGTCTATATCTATAATATAAATATATGTTTGAAGATAAAAATTCTTTTGTTAAAGTAGATTTCGTAAAAACGATGCAAATTAGCAGCTTTGAGCGCCTGTCTTTTTTAAACAATTCGAGGTACAATAAAAACTTGTGTTTCGAATGCTTTTTTGTTAAATATTACTCACTAATATGTAATAATACAGAATAAAAGTATACACTTTGTATTTGAAAACATAATGCGTTCGTGAAATTATAATTTCTAACTGTCATCGTAATTTGATAGTTAAATACAAGAGGCGCTGCAAAATGAATTACAAAAATTAGAAGGATAGCAGTCTACAATTTATGTAATCTTTTTCGTGATTTCCTCTGAAGCTACCATGAGTTTCCGGTAATTTTAACCATTTCAAGCATTGCTTTGCTTGGCTTTGATCACGGTGGGTTGAAATGTGTAATGGAAAGTGGTTAGTAGGAGCAGTAGAAGTAAAAGAGGTGATAATGCAAACATATTTGACTTGAAAAATTAAGCAAGCTGTAGTTGGAAACTAAGCTTATACATCGTTCAATGTGATTTACATCGTTCAGTCATTTTTGGCAAATATCGTTACGTATTTTTTTACGGGTAAGTATCTACAAAGCAGCAAACGAATATCCCCTGTTGATAGCACAGCATGAACTTTTGAATCCGAAAAGATCTTTAATAATGCATTATGTTGTTCATATAATACTATTATAATTGACTAGTCTTTTCTGATTATTAAAATGTAGAATGTATATTTTGTTAATAATGTATATTATTTTATAATAATTACACGTAAGAGTAATGTATAGAATTATATTTCGTTTACAGGAAAATGGACTCGTGCTTCTGACGATCTAATATACATTAACACAAAAATACTATCAAGGAGGAATGGACACATATTGGAATGGATTCACAGTACACATACATAGTATTTATTAAATATTTTTTTTATAAGTTGTACATTCAAAACGCATGATGAAAATTTTTACCAATTGTATGATATCATGATTATTTAATTACATGCACTACCAACTGAAATGTGTTCTTTATAATAATTCATTATATAATTGTTAAATAAGATTTCATTTAGTTTTATTCATTGCAGGTTTTGCAACAATATTGCCAGAAATCACAAACATGTTCAAATTTAATAAATGGTTAGTATTATTTGTTATAACAAACTTTATTGTTATATGTAAAAATAATATGATGATATTTGAACCACTAATTATGAATTCATGATTATTTTTTACATGCACTACCAACTGAATTTTAAAACTCTGATAGAAAATAATAGTAAGTCTATTATGATGTACATATTTTCTTATATTGTTGTTTCAGGTAATCAATCAGTTCAACAGGGCTGTATCATATAATTTGTACTTCATTGGAGAAATCACATATGTTATACATCAAATTTTATAAATCATTTGTATATACTCTGTATTACGTTACATATAAAAATTAAATTATTAAAAATAAAAATCATGTAATTTTATTTATATTTCCCTTCTTTATTTTGATACATTATTTATAGAGATAATACTACTTTTTAAGAGGTTTATGAACTATATTTTTTAAAGGCAGATGATATGTAAAAATACATATATTATTTATGTACAATATTTCATAATATCGGTGCAGCAATCAAGATATACATATATCTTACAAATGATTAACATTAGAACACGGATGAAAGTGTAAGGAGGACTGATCCTCGTAACTAAAATTTTAATCTGTAAGAAAAAAGGAACTTATAGTGAAACGCTTTTAATCCATATCACGTCACTATAAGTACATTGTACTTTGAGTTCACAGAGATAGAATTCGGAAATGATCCAGTTTTCAGTTTAGTAAAAACTGTATAATTATAAATTGCACATCAAGCATGTATATGAAGAATATATACTTCCATTCATCAAAAATTTAAAGAAACAAGTTATGACATCCTGTAGCTAGACGAGACAAAGTATTTCCAGTCTGATCAACCACATAAAAATTCACTTAAAAAAGGGATAAATTATTCTTGTAATTAAGAATGACACATGTACAAATCACATGCAAATCTATTTCATTATCCTATTCGGTGTAAATTATGGTATGTACAATAAATATTTAAAATAATATAATAATCTTTAAAGCCTTGTTTATATCAATATTAAAAAATGTTAAAGAATTCATGCTGTGTAATCGAATGATCAAACTGGATTTTCGATGTATGAAATTTATATTTCTTATAAACATATAACAATTAAAATTATACATTGAACTGTTTTCATACTTCGGTCAAGGAATAACCATTCTATAAGAAAAATGCATTGGAGAATAATTATTTTCACGGTGGTAAATATGTGTAGGATACACAATGAAAAGATTCATTGACGAACTTAAAAAATTATACGAAAACATTTGATTTTAATCAATTCTTTTCTCTCTATGTTGACATAAAATTCATTCAATCACATCTGCGTGTAATTTACAGTACACTGCGTACACTACATACAACAATGCTTCATATATTTGGATTTAATTTTCAGAATGTACGAGATTAAAAATTCGAATATTAATGTAACTAATTATGATCTTTTGCGCAGGACACAAAACTATAATGTGATATATAATTTAAAAATATCGTATGTACCCATATTTACCTAAAACATAATTTCATACATACAATGTGTTTGCGCGCGGGCGTGTGTATTTGTGTCTGTGTGTTGTGTGTATACGTGTTCAGTACGTGTATCCACGTGTATATTGTATACCCGTAAGTATACAGAATTCTTCAAGGCACTCCAGATATATATTACATTCATATTTTACAAATTCTATTCTTCAATTTTTCGCACTTGAGGCATCTTAAGATAGAAAGTAAAATCAGACGACAATGTTTTTCAACTAATGCTTTGCTACAGCATAGTTCCCGACAGTACAAATCATACTGAGGGTGACACTTTATACAGATACATATTGCAGCAGCCATGATCAAATCAGTAAAATTTCGATCTATTTACAACACCTTCTATCTCATCGATCGTACCGTATTACAGTTTCAGAAACATGTAATAGATTCGTTCGTTCTTTTCCCTTCTCTTTACACCAATTCTGCCTTCTTCAAGTACCAAAAAATAAAGACATCGGAAAACGAAATTATAGACATCTGTTTTTGTCTAACAAATATAACTCTTCTTACGCGAAAACTATGTAATTCTTAAATCGCAGCTGTACCTAATCATTTCTAGATTACGTTAGCACGTATTCTGTATAAGGCGGTTCTCCGAAGTATTCGTATCAGCGACCAATCATATTGTTTATAAATTGACTACTAGTAAACATATTCTCTGGTTTCTTTCTTTTTGTTTTTTTTCTTTTAATAATCCTCGAACATCGACTAATGCAAAGATTCCTAAAATAGAGCGAAACTACACGAATAAAATGTTCCATGTATAGGTGGAATAGTACAGAGTACTGTTCAACATTACACAGTCAATGTAATTTAAATGAATACGCTTCGAAACGTTTATGTTTACTGTCTCTTGTTACCAACACATACTTCGAATATGCGAACATTAATGCGAATTCTTTTTGTATGATTGTTAGTTTATCCAAAATATAGATTGACTTCCTGAATATTGCCTATGAGTTTGCTGCCTTTGCATCATCATATACCTTTGGCTCCTCGCTCTAGTAATAGCAAGTTTCACAAGCCTTTGTATTCGCACTTAAATACAGTATGTTACAGAAACACTTATTTATAAGAATGCATGTACACATCACCATCGCTTACCTAACAACGTTTAGGATAATGTACACAAAGAAGACATGTACAAGGTTTTTAGCCAGTTAATGGTTTTGATACAGCGTCTTAACATCGAACACCAACCTCAGTCAGTTTTCGGTTCGCATAGTTGCTTTAACGATTTCAGTTCTTCTATTAACGTCTGATTTCTATTCTCCAATATCGCAACACGATTTTCTAAACACTTTATATATTCTTTCTTTTTCCTCCTACATTCTCGTGCTGCTTGTCTGCAAGGAGAACAAGTTTACAGTTTTAAATTAAAATATATAAAATAGAGAAAAGAAAATTCATGCGAACGGTAGTTGAAGACAATTGGCGAATTGTCATTTAAATCTTACCTATTCTTAAGCAACCTTAATTCTCTTTTTCTAGCTGCATCTTCTACGACAACACCGTGTCCTGTATAAGCTGGAACATTGCCAGAGGCTGTACTCTTTAAATTTATATCTCCTTCATTTACAATTAATTATAGTAAAATTATAAATTCAAATAATTAACCCTAGAATGACAAAGGGGTCGTTTATGTTTGTGTCGCTTCTATGCTTTGGAATATTTTTACAATAGTCCTTTTATATTCGTGCCAATTATTTCTCTGTTTAAAAGAACTTTCGTATTAAAGAATTTTCGAAATTATTCGTATCTCGAAAATAGGAATATCATTGTGGGGTTAATTACAATCCTTTATAATTGATACGAACGAGATGAAACAGTGCCCACCTGGAACAAAGAACTGTGTATCTTGACCTTGTGCATACTGTACTATAGCTCCGCCAGCGGTCGCAGCATTGCTCATAGTTAATGTATGAAGTCCAGGAACACCCTCTCCTTGGGTTGCAATTTGAATGGTACCAGCCGGAATTACTGCAAAATATATTAGCTTCAGCTACAATACAACTACTGCGTTCTATTTTGTTTATACTAACAAAACAAACGTACACATAGTTGAGAACTATCTGGTAGAGTATACTTTTTGCGCTAAATAAAAATCTATACGAATCCTTAGTAATCATATTTCACTGAATAATTTTGTGTATGCCATATATACATATGTGCGTATGCCTATCCACAAACAGAAGAACCCTGTAAGCAAGGATGCCACACCAAGCAAGTATGATAAAAAATGTTCTCAATTAGAGGTAGCAGAAACAAAGATGAAAGGAATCACTTTAATCTAACAGCTTTACTATCGTTCATCAAAGTTATTTCTCAGATAAATAACGGAACACAGACGCGCTGGAATATGCACAGAATTAAGTGATATATAAAGGACAGCCAGGAAAGATACGTAGAAGAAAAAATAACCAACCTGTCTGATAATGGAGAGAGTGGGAAGACACTTCACTGTCCACGTTAGAATCACACTCAGAAGATGATTCTAGGGGGGGCAATCGACCGTCTGTAACACCGAATCAGTACAACCCCCCGTTATAACAAAATTGTTACCGGTGTCTAACTGAACTTGCTCAATCCCCCATAAAGCTGTATGAATTTCATATAGTAATCTAATTTTTTGAAAACGATGCAACTAACATTTCTTCCGAAATAACTTTCCTGATTGTATAAAAGTGCATAATTGCATATATACCTTTCTTTCTTTCAACAACAATCTGCATCCAGAAAATGCATTAAACGTGAAAATACAAACAGAAACAAACGTATAGTGTCATTTGCTATTTCCTTTCTGGCTGCTGTTTACATATAGTTTACAATAATGTCGTGCAGTCAGCTCATACAAAAAGGAAATAGATGAAAACGAACATTAAAAGTGACTACATGCTTTAAAGTCAACAAAGAGATCAATAACGGACATGACTGTGTTACAAATAAAACAAAATATGAAACTAATGGACACAAATATTTATTGTTATTCATTTGTTCTCGAATTCTTTTGTTACTTTTCAATTCCTTCATCCTACCTCCATTAGTGGATTTTAATTTTACATTTTCAAATGAACCTACAAATAGGGAACATAGAAATTTAAAAAATAAGTATTATAAACATTGAATTAGTTATTACCATGTGATATTTTATTAACTTCAGTAAAATAAGGTATTTCATTAAATGAAGCATATGCGTTTATGGGATTGTATTTGTTTCAATAAAATTAATTATTTCTTATAAATGCAATGCTTTGTTCACACAGGTAGTGATTAGAGGAGATTCCTGTTTTTTTTTTTTTTTTTTTTTTTTTTAAATGTTCAGTTGCTGATAAATTAAACTCGATCACAATATCTTACACCCTAAGCTTGGTATGGCATTCCTTTTTTCATTTACATACATAAGGTGAAATATTAAAAAGCATAGGTAGTCACATTCACACTCCTTAATAAAATTCTAAAGAAAACATAAATGTCTAAATTTTTTTTAGAAAATTTACTATGTTAAACCCGATTCATAAAACAAATGTCTATATTCATGGACTGAAAAAAAAAATAATTATTAAGAAAAGACAATATTTAATTTCACAATATGATTAAAATATATTTTAATAATATCTGTATGAACTGACATGCACTTTATCATTTTCTACACCTCTGTTTATTAATAAAAATATATAAAAATGAGATAAATGGAAGTACTAATTTCATATAAATTTGAAATTTTTCTTGACAAATGTAGTTTGAATGTTTTAACTCTAATATTAAAATCATTAAGTAATCATTTTCAGACAATATTTAAATAGAACAAGAACTAACTTACCTGTAATTTCACCACCCCCTAAGTCATTAAGAATTTTCTTGTAGGATGGTCGTCTGGTAAGAATACCTCCTCTCTGTTCTGGAGATTCTTCTGAGTCTGAAAAACTATCATCACTACCAGTCTCGACCACCTATTATGATAACATTCTCATTAAAGTTTGTTTCTTTACATGTGATTGTTATAATTTTTGCTAATTTAATCTTAAAGTAAATGGACCTTAATTTGATCTTAAAACTTACTTGAAGTGTTTGTAAGCTTGCTTGTGCTGTTTGAATGACAGAATTGGGTTTACTAACAAGAATGACGTTTCCTTTCGAAATGGCGACAGGTTGAATGTTTGTTGCAGTCTGAATAACTGACTGTTGATTAGGTTGTATAACAGACTGTACCTAAATCAACAGATAAATATCAATTAATGTCCTGAACCCACAAAAACACACATTGTCAAATGTATAAACACGAATATATTTTTGTATTGTTTAAATATTTATTAAATAAAAAGACATTTATAAATCCCTACTATTATCATGCATATACAAGTCACTATAATGAAATTATATGACAACAGATCTATCAAAAAGATTCACAGAATGTAGTACATACTATATTCATTGTACCAATAACTTGGAAACAGGTGAATTCCGATTACTGAATTACGAAAAACTAAATTCTAACTTCAGTTCGCAAGGACGAACCAGCATTATGCAAGATTGAATCCATACACAGTGCTCTTAGAGTAACTGATATAGGACCTTATGAGTGTAATTAAAATGTAAATAAATTATGTATGCATGCTTTGAAACAAAAGATGTAAATAAATGATCCAGACATAGATACACAGGAATTTCTCCTGTATACCTGTGTTGTTCCTGACGAAGGTAGCGTCAGTTGCACAATGCTGGTAGAAGCTACCAGATGATGAGTTTGCTGCTGATGTGTTCTATTGAGAGATTGTACCGATGTAGCTATTGCTGGTGCTGCATCGCCACCTTGAGAACCCACAGATAATGGGTCAACAGCTGATCCATTTTCCTCAACCATGCTTTCCATAGCCTGGGGACTTCAAACCCTATAAAGAAATGGCAGTTTCAAAACTATGCATATCCTTAATCACAAATTTTCGGACTCCTTATAATTTTGATTTCCTAATTATTTTCTTTTTTTATATCAATACTATTGAAAATTTATGAATATTATTTAAATTATTAATTACAATACAGAATACTATTTACATTGTAGTGACAAATTCAGAACAATTCGAATGAAAAAAAAAAAGACTACTATACAGAAACGTGCATGATTATTAATTAAAAAAAATCAAATACTTATATATGCATATTCGAAACTTCATGTCTGAGCGCTCAATAAAAGATAAACATGGTTAAAGCAAGTGGAGCCCGAGAATTCGAATGATTGTTAACTTAAAAATCAGGGCTATTTAGTAACGTGCGAGAACTTTTAAATTTCCCGCCATTCAAGCGATCGGCAGTGCTACTGCGTCATTTACATAAGCAGATCTAAAAATAATACGGGAACAATAAACACTTAAGATGCTTTCGTACATGGTCGAAGGGCCAGATGTTGTAAAAAGGGGAGAAACACGATTTAACGTGGCTCAGAATTGCGGCCGATCAGTGTCTCCTAGTGTCAATTAGTGGCGGAAAGAGATGTCAGAATCGTCACGTAACCCCCATTGCCCTTTTCAAGAAATTCGTACATCTTTCTTAAGGCGCCATATTTTACGGCATATTCCACAGCAGACGTAAAACTGTCCGTGTTGATCGCATGAAACGATATGCTGGTTGTTTCGGCAGCATTTCGGATGTGCCGTAAGTGCAGTGGTCCATGCCCGGTTGTTATTATTCTCCAGCTGGGTACTTACCAGTTACGTATTTCTCGTCACCAACTTTGCTGCAATCGGAGTGGGCAAACGGGCAGGTACGTAGCAGCCACGTCAAAACTCCAGTGGCTTCGTCACTGGTGGAGCCCACGACCTCCGCGCTGCGCGTCACAATCAAAATGGCCGACGGTTATCCCTCCACCCCCTCGTAGCTGATCGTGCAACGGATAGTGATGGGACCCGATATCCTCGTGCCGTGATACCGAATCCGTTTCCTTAAAAGTTTTCTCGACAGTTCGAACTAAAGCACGTCGAAACTAAAGAAACAACGAGATCAACTCATTGTATTTCTCGAAGTTTGTTTATAATTACAAGTGACCGAAAAGAGTATTCTATGCATCGCTGTTTCTTGTTTGTTGATAGAAAGCTAAATTTTTATACAATAATCTGACGTGAAATAGTTTTAACTTTCTGTATATTCGAAACAGTATAAACAGTTAAAAGCGAGGGTACTTTTTCATAGTGTGTATGTAGAGTAGTATTCCACAACAAAAAACAGCTGTCTCTCATATTCATCGATTTAATAATCATTATCGTAACTGAAATAGATATTAAAAAAATTCATATTTATCTCGTCGTACTGAATTTGACTTATTGTATTGTATTAGGTCGATAATAAACAATTTTATTTACGTTATTTTTCGTGTGAGTCATTGAAGAAGTTAATTGTGTAAAAATCAAATAAAATTATGCACATATTGTTTCTAATTTTATTTGTCTTATGAGAGAATGTTAATTATTCGTAACGTGAAAATGTTTAAAAAATATCGGATTAGTTTCATCGCTAACAACTTTCAAACCGTCAACCTCTTCACATTTTTCTATCTTTTTGATATCTAGTCTGCATTATCGTGTGATCCGTGTTATTTAGCTATGTACAAAGGAAAGCACGTTAATTAATATCATTTAAAATTACGTACATACATGTATCAGTAACCTGTTTTTCTTCCATATAAACCGTATTTGTTCAATAAACTGTTAATGTTAATTTATTAATTCATCTGGTTTCCATATTTGTATGCTAATTTTCATTCGTATCATGCTCGTCAATTATCATTTTAACGAACTTTTTAAAAGGTTGCATTACGTGTAAAAATAGTATCCAAATGAACTATGACATTAACTTACTTAATTACGTAATTCCACAAAACTAACGATCAATATATTGTTGTGAATTTTCAAAATTAACAGGTTGTAAAATACACTAAATTATGGAGGAAAATAAAATTGATAGAATCACTTTAATTCAAGGAAGTCGTACGAAAACTGTCTTCGTTCATGGAATGTTTGTTCACGTCTGTTATATATGCAATCAACAATATTCTGTAACATAAATATCATTTAAATAATATATAAAATTTAAATATGATATATATCTGTGGATAGACGTAATTACAGATGTAGTAGCTCGATGGAACATTAGTCGTGCTGACGTCATTTAGTGACGTCATGTCGTATTTATGTGGATGCACATATATTCACATGTATACGCTCTGAGTAACTGTTAATTGTTAGAAGTACTTGATATAAATCTATAAACGTTATAGAATAATAAATACAATTTTGCATAACGTAATAGATATTGTTTCTAACGTTTATTGCCTTATGCATGTCAAAGCAATAATTATTCATTAAGTAACACAACTAATGTAAATTTCATGCCATGTTGTTTCCTTATTTATATACATCATACTTATATGCAGATAGTTACGAAAGATTTCGCTCTTTCGAGACTTGAATAATTTAACTAATTCATAGTTAAATTGTATAGGAGGTTAGACTATATATCTGACATCTTTTGAGTTATTAATTTATCGAAAGCAGATTAAAATATTTCTTAATAGGTTCTTAGATGTTAATTGTTGTTATTTAAAAAAAAACCTGGTAGGTGAAGTATTAAAAAATTTCATTTATCGTACTTCATAGTACACTGCAACAATGAAACATTATTTAAACAAGACACAACTTTTGTCACTCAAAAAAAAACGAAAGTTCAATTGGATTTGAACATCTCGCATGTGAATGATGCGAAGAACAAAGCTGTCGTTGTTGTAATACAAAAATAGAATGTTGTTGTATTGGCACTTTAGCGATTACAACTTTAAAATCACTTTCTCTATTGGCTGCATCCAGTCGGGGAGTACTCTGAGGTCTTATTCGTTGCTCGAGGAAACGGTTGAAATGCCAACCAGTGTCGAGGTTAGAAATTCCGTCAGAATGGGAGCCAATAAGAACGTTCGTCACTTGCAAGCTTAGAGCGATTATTCATTGAGGCAATCTGCATTTTCTCGTTGTATGCGTGCTACGAGTACGCGAGCGTGTATCGAAACCTGTTGTTGACACTTCCAGTGACATAACCCTTGCGTTCGAATCGCATTCGTGTTTATATATTTCGAGGCTCGCGTTGTGTCCACGCACGATCTTTTCGCAAGCTGACAGATCCTTCTGTTCTTCCACTTACGCCCGATGCGTCGCACAGTCTGATATTGTTCTATATAAAGTCAATATAGGTCCGTGTAGTAAGTGCCTTTGTTTCGTTGCAAGTAATTGTAGAAATGAATAGTATTTAACGATTGGAGATCGTACGCTTAATCGAAGAGAGAAAATATATAAGTTTGTATAACTTGAAACATTAGTCAGACTGGGTGTGACTAATCTTCGCCGTCGTCAGCACGTGTAACAAAATCTTAACTTTCGAGAGGCAGACGGTTTTTTATTACCGTACAAACGGTGATGTCTGGCTCCATTTAGACCCTCATTCATTGTTTTCCTGTATAGAAGTATATTGATCAGACTTAATATAAACAAATTCGAGTTAGTCATTTGAAAATGTTTTCGTGTATGAATCATACATCTGTATGCTATAAATCCATAGTCCAGCTATGAATGTAGGATGTACAGAATGTGTCACACATAGAACAAAAAAGTGTCCTTCAACATTGTGTCCAATATTTTAAGATTTTGCAGTAATAAAGTATTTCATGAATTAGAACTTGTTAGCATCTATTACATGTTATAAGAGCTAATAATAAGTGAGTGAAGTAGTCTGTAAGAGTTGCAACATTTATGTCCTATAGAATTGCCATTCATTATCTTATGTATGTACAATATATATAGAATAAATGTTATTAGCAGGATCTACGAGACAACTTACTGTCCTTTTATTGTAACATCTATTATAAGATGATCATTAATATGGTTTTCTTGCTCCTGTAATTATTATTACGTAATCTTTACTTTCATTCTTTTACATTAATGGCATATTCATTTTATCAATGTTATTATTTTTCTTTATTTTGTTATTATAAGTTCCTTTTATTCTTATTACAGCTAAGCAACAATGGCTCAAACCACCACCATTGAAACAATCACCATTACCAGGCCACTGAAGGTAAGCTGTAACTTTCATACTTGGACAGTCCAATAATCCAATAACAGTAGAAGATAATAATGGAGTAATAAAACAATCAAATTAAGACTTTTGTATTCACCCAGTATCATAAATAAGAATGTTCAAAGTACAGATTTATAGTATGAAATAGAAGACAGTATTAAGATTAAAGCAGCTAATAAAAAAATGTATTTTTATAATATTAATTCCGTTTACAATAAAGATAAGGAATTATGAAGTTAATTAAGATAAATCAAATTAAAGGTATGAAATGGTATCCTAAATTCTAATTAAAGTAACGTTTCTACGAAATAGGAAGCATCAACGTTCAATGAAAAATTGCATCGTTCTTGTAACCGTGTTATTAAAAAGAAAATATTTCTATAAATGGAACGCGTGCATCTCAAGTTTCGGCACAAGTAAAAACCATCTACGCGCACTGCGCCACGACCTTTAATGGGCGCAGACTCCCTGAAACCCAATTACTCCCCCAACCGCGGACGGAGACTCTGTCCCTGGTTGACCTCGCCGAACGAACAATCTCTCGACACATTTCGCGAACGCTGTCAAAAAATTCTCGCGTCAACAATGTAACATCGCGTGGTATTTGAGGTGGGATCGAAAATTGTTTCGCGAATATTGCGGAAACGTCGACGAATATTCGACCGATGTTTACGTAGGAAGTGTTTCTCTTTCGTGAAAAGGGTTTCGCATCTTCGAGCGGTCTTTAAATGCGTTTCTGTCGTCCGCCGAGCTTGTTTCGCGGAAGAGTGTACGATGTTCCGTAAATGGTACTCAAACGGACCAAGAAAACTGTGAAAAAGTTCGAAACAATTTCGTCTACGTAAGAGGCCTCCGGATTTTGTCCATTTGGGACTGATTTTGAAAGCATATCGTGGATCTACGATGATCATGTATACAGTCGCGGATGATCACATGGGCGATACCGAAATCGCACAGGTACACACACCAGCCACGTTTTGAATTTGTTGAGTGGTGTACCGTTAATGGTTCATTATGATCATGATTGATTTCCATGAATCATATTTCTGTGAAAAATCTTAAAGGCTTTAATATTATCTTGAATGTTATTTAGAATGCATTGATGCACATGTTGCATAATTGTTTGCATTCTTGAGATTTTATTTGTCCTGTTCCTAAAGTGCTCCATTATGATTGTATAATAAATATTGCTTTATCATTTATTACAGGTGATAGCATTCATATGCGGGATAATAGTGATATTGCTGATGATAATGGGTTTAGCTTCCACCGATTGGTTGATGGCATTAGGATGGAGACAGGGTTTGTTTGCACATTGTATCGAGGAGAGTGCACCCACACCATTGCCGTTTAATATGCCAGGTCCAGCTGGGTGTTATCAGTCCAGAGATGTTGGTACGACAAAGTTTCCTTATAAAGTTCTGTTTCTATGATAGGATGGTAACACTGAAATTATTTTGGTATAGAAACATTTTTTAATCAAACGATTTTGTAACATTTATGTAAGATCAGAATCGTGAAATCTAAAGAAATCAACCAAAATAATATTGAATTTCTGTGTAGCCTATATAAGAGCAGCTGCTGCCTTATGTGTAGTCTGTTTATTAACGGACATTGCTGCAACAATTCTCACAGGACTTGGTTTAAGGTCACAGGATAATCGCGATAAGCATAAGTATTACAGATTTGCAGTCTTCTGTATGGGCTTCGCGTGTAAGTACAAACCAGTCCATTAATAAAGACATCCATTTCTGTACTGCATAATTGTAATTCCTTTTGTTTCAGTGGTATCGCTCTTAATAGCTTTGGTGATATATCCAGTGTGCTTTGCCGCGGAACTGAATCTCGGTAAATTTATAATTCAAAAAGATTGCAGAACTCAATTGTATTATTCCATACTAAAATGATATTTCGTATACTTATAGGAAACCGAGCGATGTGGGAGTTCGGTTGGGCATACGGAGTCGGATGGGGTGCGGCTATATTCTTGTTCGGCGGAGCGGTGTTGTTGTTATGCGATAAGGAAAGCGAGGAGATTTATTACAAAGAAAGAAAGATTGTCCGCGACGATATTGGTGGCGGAGGTTCTATGATTGGTATGGGACATCATGGTGGACGAAGTGGGACGCAATTGGCCTAGTGGCATTGCTCCCTGCCCGACGTTGTTCTCTAGGTGATTAATTTCTTCTTTTTCTGTCCTCACATTTTTGATACATTCATGAAGAGACGTACACACACGTAAAAAGAGTGAATGGTTTTTATATGTAGACTACTTGTTACACCAGCATATATTGGACTTAACTAATACTTCGATATATGGGATGTACGAAAAGGCATCTAATCGAATCCGTTAATCGGATACTCGACGGCAAAAAGGGTTTGCGACTTGACTGAAACGTTGATTACGTTCACTCGTTTGTTACCAATTTCCAATCTCTCATATCAACAATTTCGGGACCATCGGTGTTTTTGGTTCACCTATATAATATTGTGTTTTATCCGTATTATACAACCAGAAATATTTTTTATAGTATCTTTACATTACTTTCGGAATTCACTAACCACCTTTTGATACCATTGCCAATGGTAGCATTGATGCTGCGTTTCGTATCTAAAGAATCAATCGATGGACAAAGCCGCGTTTACCGCTACTGTCGTAACTCCAGACGTAATGGGCAAGTAACTTTTTTAATCCAGACCTTTGAATTTGCTAATATTTCGAACTTTTACTGTGCCTGCATTAAAACATCACTATCGTGTCTGGCTAGCTTTGAAAAATGGTTTTTGCTGTTTCGGAGCTGCGCGTTCACGATATTTGAGTACTTAATGCAATTCGATGCCTCCATATTCTCGAAAATGCAAACAAGAATATTCGCGATAAGCAATTAAAAAACATGGAAGGAATTAATACGATTATAAGAACAGAACACTGCCTCGTATTAGTCAAATAATAAATGATTGATTCTTATTTTTGTTTTTGTGTAAAACATGCAGCTTTGATTCAGTTATTATTTATTACATATTAGTATATTTTCTATATGTAGTATGTACATATATACACATATCTATATACATATATTAGATATTAGTAATTTATTATTCGCTTTCATTTATTATTTTTTTTCCTATTATTATTGAAAGTGATATTTGCTTTAATCAAATGATTTGCGTTTTCGCAGCTTTTACCAGAATTCTTTGGTATACAGTATATACATTTACACAAAGTTTATAACTTCGACTTCCACGTATTCCATAGCGTATCATGGCCAAAAATTGTTCGAAGTGACATATCTTGCGATTACGCACAGAAGTATATGAACGAAAATTCGAGTGAAATCAAATCATTCAGTTTCGAATAATAAAAATATTTAAAGAATCGCATGCTTGGGCACACTATGTCGATTAGTACAAATATATGATTATTTTTATTTTTTGAAGATAAAAAAAATATGATTCTTTTCAGTCAGTCTAAAGAATTATAAAATTGTACATTTATCGCGGCATAATTGCACATTAATGAGTATATTATTCATTTTCATATTACTATCTAGTTTATTACTTTTGTATTTGTTATACGTCCTCCTACAGTCTTCCTTTATTTCTCATGGAAATACAAAATGTTCGTTTATCGTACCATGAAACATGCAAACGCTACCTCCAGTAAATATTTGATTTTTCCCGTGCAATTGTTTTCGGACTATACAAAGTAAGCAACGGGAAAACATTTTTCTTCCAAGCTGATAAAACACGATTTGAATCAGTTTTCCAAGAGATTAACTTCAGTTGTCTCTCGTGTTATACCTTACACATTACAATACTACGACTTTTTCCGTGATCACTCGCATAAAATATTTGCTTCATGTTGTCATTTCTACGGTGACCTTTCTTTTCCAAGACAGTTCAAACGACTGGAAATTCCGAGAGATTCATTTTGCGAAACGTTTTGAAGTAAACAGTTGTGCAAATTTAAAATACGTATGTACAAGGCTGGTATGAACTATCGACAAGACGGTCTTCTTTTTTTATAAAAATTTTCCAATACTTCCAGAAACACTTATTTTCGTTTCCAAGAACGAACAGAGTTAGTATGTGTCATTTGTATCGACAGTAATTTTACCAAATTATCGGACACATTTGAACGAAACATGTATGCAATGTGAGAGCTGAGATATGCACGCGTTATGAAGTTTCCAATGATAGTGTCAGTATCACGAAACACGTATGAATGGTGATATTGCGAGGTTCCATTGAATCCAAACTGAACAAAGATACAATTTCTAGCAGTATTATATACATATATATATTTCATAGTGACTCTTGTTCAGTGATCACTCCTTCGTTCTTGTTTTCCTTTAATCATTCGTAATAGAACAAACGTTTATGATTTCCACCCATTGTCTTTAGGGAGAGGTTATGCTTCTCCGATGAATCGAATTAACATATTTATGTTGAACACAGCACCAAATATTTATGTGTGCGATGGAATAGAGGCAGCTCGGGCAGGTATTATCTTATTATGTTATCTGCATTACATACGTGTACGTATATGTATATATAGGTATTTTATAAATACATGTAATAGAATGATACACTCGCAGTTACTGCGATACTTCTAAAGAAAGAAAGAAAGAAAGAAAGAAAGAGAACGAAATCTTAACGGGGAACGAAATTCCATACACATGCACTTCGTATAACGCGGCCGATCAATCATGCTTTCTATGAACGGGGGAAAAGAAAGAAAGAATGGAAAAGGACTTTTAAGATTAAGAATTACAGTGCGTTTGATTCTTTGCTGAACACTGTCGATTTGCGCCTTTCGATTTTGATATGTGCTATTAAATGACATAGGAGTACTACGTAAGACTAAGTGTAACCGAGTACTGAAATGTGTTTTAAAAAAACGAAGAACAAGCGAGTCGTTGATACGTTAATTAAGAAGTTTTATGATATATATATATATACAGGAGATTATTATATGTCGACAAAGGGAGGATTGAGAAGTGATTGTAAATTGAGTACAATAGTAATTGCATTCTATCTGCCACCAGTAGTCACTCCTTGAAAAGACTAAATAAGGCTGGCATAGTATAGAACATTTTGGTACATTTAAGTGGCAGCCTGAAACTACAGACTACTCGTATACAATGAAATCGTGTTTATAGAACTTCTGTTTTTCATGGGGGCGAAAAATGTCCAACTTGCATTCACCACCCACGCATTGAAATCGCAGTGTAGATAACTATCCATTGTTTTCTACTCGATTATCAGAGAATTAATATAAAAACGATTTAGACAGGCATAAGATGATTGTGTAATTAAGTGATGATAGGTATAACGTAGAATTAATAGAGCACCATTCCAGAGTAAAAAAAAAGAAAATATCATGGTTATCTGTTGCGTGCACAAATTCTCAAATGAAGAAGCAGATTCTCAGTCGTGTACAAGAAACGTGGAATTATTCCAATGGAACAATTGAACGAACGTAAATGAAGAATATATATGCGATACTTTTATGAAATTAATATTACTGTAACATTAAAATTAGAAATCTTCAAAAGCACGATGGAGAAACTCTTTTTATCAGAGAATTATTTTTACGACGGTTACTTCCTAATTTGTACATTGTGATAACTAGACTACGGATTTTACACATCTATAGTGTACAATGTGTAATCAAACTCGATAATATTTCACAAGATTTTTATTTTACTTGAAATCGTGCAAAACTTCTAATGGAGTAGTAAACAAATTTTTCTAAATCAATCCATAAAAATTTATATTTGCATGCAAATCCGTAGACTAGTTAGGAAAAGATTACACCCTGAAAAGAATAGTTGAAACCAGTTAATGATTATTTATAATACAAATGTTTGCAAAGTAGAAAGTCTATTGTACGTGATAGAGTCACGGTACAGCACACACGGTAGATGAACATAATTTAGCCGATATTTAACATTTCATATTGTATAGTACACATATCGTACTTATCCATGCATATCGTAGTTGGTGTCCCAAGAAGGTGTAGCGCAAAGAAATTGTAAATTCGTTTTTCCGCAGTCAGAAGTGTTACGAAGCGATACTAGTAGGATTATACGAGAAAATTATTTATGCGCCATATTACAGTGTAAAACATATCGTAATATTGTACAAAGAATAAACTATACATCTGAAAAAATAGAATCCCGAGTATCAATTTTTATCCTCTGACAAACATATATTTTAGAAATTTAAATCAAGAAAATAAATTTCACATCTGAGAAACATGAAATTCTTATTAATATCTCTTTGAATGAAACGTTATTTTGAATCTGTTGCGTACTGCAATTAACATCTAAATAAATTCCGTTTATATACCACGGCTTTTCAAGAATCATATAATTTATACAGGAACACGGCGAAGGGGGGATACGAAATAGTCGGTGTTCGTTTTTAAATAATTATTAATATTCAGCAATATAGAGCGATACAAAGAGTGAAAAATTATCGTACTGAAGAGAGACTCTGTGAACGCTAAACATAACAAAAATTTTTTCGGACTATAACAATGATACAACGCTACGACGACGATTTTAAGTAATAAATACATGTGTGTGCACGTCTGCTGTAATAGTGTGCGTGTACGTACATGTAACGAAGTATTGCTGAATAATTATTACACGTGTGGTGTTCCTATCATCGTTAGAAATCTATTTCCAGGATTCATTTCAATATAAAAATTAATTTTCCTCGGAAAAAATATATATATGTACACGCAGACTTTCGTTCGTCGATGCCGGTTGCGGAAAACTTAACAAGCACATTCGTGACAAAACTACGATATACTTCTCTCACTGGGTAACTGATATAAATTTTTTCTTCTCTTTCTCTCTCTCCCTCTCTACCCCTCCCCCGCGATCTATCACAAAAACGGAGAACAGACAACGCGACGTCATCGTGTTTGAATCATTTCCACAACGTTCACGTCATTTCGCCAATAATCTCCTTCCATCGTCCCAGAGAAACTATTATCGCGTTTGGCAGTAAAATATACATGTATCAAAAATGTTCAACGTGCTAACGCCTCTAAAAGATATAAAATATCTTACGCACCCTCGAGAAATGCCGTTTAAATACTAGACGATCATCCTGTACCATCGGCCGATAAAGCGCAGCTGCGACGAGAGACTTCCGCCCCACTTCCCATTGTAAGCGACCAAAACTAAACCTCCAATTATCCTTTACGTTCCACAACTATTCCGTCCACGGCAAAAAAAAAAAGAACCAAACGCGTCCAAAATGAGAACCTGCCAATTTTGCTTTCTTTCTTCTTTTCTATGAATTTTTCTCATTCTCTTTCGTCGCGTAGACGCAAGAAATTTAAAAAAAAAAAAAAAAAAAAAAAAAAGAAAAGTAATCCTCGATATCGTCACAGAATTTTCGTGTGCTACAAGTCAAGGCCAATCCTCATCAAACGAATAAATCACAGGCGCTGCTCTGTGCTTCGTCCTCTGTCCCCGTGCGTGAACGGGGACGCTCAAACATTTCCGTAAACACGATTCGAAACGAGAACACGAAACACGTAAAAAGAAAAGAAAAAAAAAAGGAAAAGAAAGAATTCAATCGTCTTCCTCCACGATGCGAAACGTCCTGCGTATAAACCGTAAGATAACCGTTTCCGTTACTTGCTTATCTTACAAACTTATGTGCGTGCGCCACATGTACTGTATATGCCACACCGAGAGTGGTTAAAACTCGGAGAGCACCGAACACTTCGAATCAGTGGTATTCCATACGATTCAATTACCCTTGCGGCGGTTTCAACGAGAATCTTCCACTAAAAATCTTAATACAAGAGGTTTCGAATTTTTCAAAGACTATATACCTTTCACCGCCTTTCCATGGAATACCACTACTTCGAATTATTTCACTATGTAACCTGAAAATAAACGATATTTAGTAAAATACACATTCGAGAATTAATCCGTTTTTCAATGACGCGTACACTCGTATAGGTCAGCGAGGGACAAAAAGTTATTATACAACCGATACGTGGATGTAAACTTTGCATGATTTTTGCATTAATAGTATTTAACCCTTTCTTGTTGCATACCTCACTGGTAAGAACGTAGACGTCCAATTGAGACGTGATGGAATAAGATTTCACAGTTGAAAGGCATAGGACAGTTATAATAAAACGCTCTTACAAGTATAAAGAAATTGTTTTAAAGTAGTCATAACCGATAATAAAGTACTTAATAGCGCCCGATGACGGTATTGGACCTCAATAGGAATCAACAACAGTGAAAGGGTTAAATATTTTTTGTTTCAACAAATGACCATTGTGTACACAAAGTGGGCATAAATTTAAGGCAGAACCGAGCGGTGAAATTTTTGTAATAGAACAACTTGAAAGCCTGGAATAAAATTTTTGCAAACAATCTAACAACATTCGTTACTTGCCACTGCAATTTATTGCAAGCAGAAACGTACGCGCGTCCGATTAATTTTCAAATACTCTCGAGGATATGTCCACTCTGTATATTTAAATATATTTATCAATGTAAAAAATATAGTATTCTTTCTATACAAATACTTTTATCCCTCGCCTACGTCAATCTTTCAATTCATTTAATTTAAGTCGGTTGATCCACACTAATCCTTGTTCCAGTTCTTCCATCCTAACCTTGCACAATGAGAATCGTATTCAACGCACGATTAAATAACATTACGAGCGTACACGGTAAAAGCAGTCTACAAAAAAATATATGATATTTTTTTCTCAGCAGAATGAAAGCGTGTCTTATAAAATATAGAAACTGTTTTCTTTTTAAGAGAGAGCTATACGAGAACTAAATCTTTACAACTGACATCATCGGAATATATTCGTGTCCGGATTATATTCCTCTTTATATCCATAGTGTCGAAACAATTCTCAGCGAACACCGGACTTAAAATCGCGCTAAGTGATCAACGAATCCCTATCGAGTATCCTTATTACATTAAAGACAAACGTATCAGTTCAACAGTACTTTTTGGTCCTAATCGCCCGAGAACACGTCATACCCGTGTATCTCGGCTTTAAAGTAGCATGTCTACCCATACTGACGTAGGCGTAACGGTAGGCCTAGCATAACTGAGTATCATAATTTCATCTCCCACAGCACGATGTGAGCATCGTTGCTGTTCGGATCCTTGAACGTGTAACCCGATTTCGAGCTCTTGTCGGCAACGCACTGAGCGTTCAATTGCCTCCAGTTAATGTAACCTCTGCCGCCCATCAACGTCAGAACTGTCCGTTTAGGCTGTTCTATTTGTTGCAGAGTTTTATTTATTTTCTTTCCGTTAGGTTTCAGATTATTAGACGGTGGTAGTGTCTCCGTCACCGATTGGCCTATACTACTGTTCGGAGTAGTTGTGTCATACGGTCCGTTTCGACTAGCCGAGCTACTGTTGCGAGACAATTTCCCAGTTTTCAGGGAAATGTTCTCCTCCGAGCCGGAAGACGTGTAGAGAGAGCTAGCGTGTGAGTCGACGGACCAATTGGACAGATCCAAGGACCTAGGCCTGGTGATCTTCATCTTCAGTCTACGGTCTAATGTACTAACTTTATTTGGTATGGCTGCCAGCTCTGGATCGCTCCTCCTCAAGGACTCGTAAATTGGATCGATGCCAGAACTGTTCTCGTTCTCGTAATCCTTCACGTACATCAGTTCCCCGTATAGACCGTAAACGTCGCAGTTCTCGCCGGAGCTTTGCGAGCCGGACATCGAACTGGAGAGGAATCCACCACCGGCACCGAGTCCCCTTGGAAGTGTCTTCGAGCCCCTGTACTCATATTCCTTGCTCCGTTTCCGTCTGAGCATTATCGGGCTGCTCGCCAATTGTTGCTTCAGCTTTACGATGCTGTTCGACATAGAAGAATCTAAGCTTGCTCTATCCCTACTACTCCGATTCTCAGTTTCCTTATTCCTCAACTGTACGGTCTCCTCGTCGGTGATTTCATCGGTTGCGGAGTTCATCGTGTTCTTCTGATTCTGAATGGCCAGTAAGAATGTGATTGGGCCAAAGTGCGCGTGATAAGATATGTTAACACGGCCACTGATAATGGGTACACCCTCCAGACGTGGCAGAGGAATCGTCAGGCTGATGCCAACATTGGTACCAACCCAGAGGAGTCCTTTGCACGCCAACAGCGCTGTGACTGTAACTGCGGTCTGATTGTTGTTCAGATTATCGCCGCAAGAATTGGCCGCGTTATTGGACCTGGTCACCCTCAGAACGTTGGATGCTATATTGATGTCCTGTAGGTGTTTGAATGTTTCGGTGTGGTATAAGCACACGGTGCTCGAGTTCTTCAAAGCGACCCAAAGGCCCACTCCAGAATGGGCCATTAGCTTTACGCTACCGACATGTTCGTGCTGAGCACTGAAGCTTTTCGTGACATCACCGGTGACCCCGTTAAGTACCCATACCTTCTTTCCACAGGCGGCGTAAACGGACGCGTTGATTGGCATTAAACAGGAGACAGGTTCACTACCCAAGGATATCACGTACGGATCCCTGAGATTCCAGGTACCATCGATTTGTCTTCTGAACAGGAGAAGTAGACCAATCCCTAGCGCGACGAAAACGTTATCGCAGTGGTACTTGATTTGTATCACTGGACCTGACACGGAATAGTGGCCGAGTTCTTCTTGCTTCTCTGGTTCAGAAGCAGCGTAGATGATGATCTTGCGAGAATCCGTGCCCATCCATACAAGGTCGTTCGCCAGGGATAATGGTTCCGTGGAGACGCCCTTTACGAATTCTATAGCACCCACTCTAGTTTCTACTAAGTCGAAAGATGTAATCTGTTTTAAGGATGTCGCGGAAGCTGTCGTTGACTGACCGAATACAGTCACATGACTGGATATACCGTCTCCGGTACAGATCCATAAGTAACTTTGACTTCTGCCACGACGTCTAGTAGGTCGTGGATTTTGGGTGGTGTAATAACATCCGCAACGTACCTGAAAAGTATCGTACATGTCTTCTGTGTGGACTAACATAACCTCTAACACATTTGTAAGTCTACAGCAAGGCGGAAATTAGTTATGATTAATTCCAGTAGATAATAATATATTGTAATACTAAATGCAAACGAGAATAGTAATACCAAATGTAAAGAAATAAAACCTTACTTCTGTCTGATGTTGCGAATGGTACACCTGCTGCGAACTGACGAATAATGGCATCTTGGTGGATGGTCTTTGTTCTTGTTCAGGTACTTCCCAAGAAGGCGAATTATTTGGATCTAAAGCCAATTGTGCTAGCCTAAGCTCGGTTATCCAGTCTTTTTTCACTAAAGGATTTTCAGTTTGGAACGTGTACATCTGTCCTTGCTTCGTTACCAACTGTAAGCAACAGCTGTCCGCCCAAACCATGTCCTCGTCCTTTTGTTGTATCGACAGTTGTATGGACTGAAGAATTTGTTTGGTTTTTTCTAACGTCATTCCCTATAAATGAAATGTCTATCATAGATACTAAAACAGTAAATAAACGTAATATTTTGTAATACAAAGTGACCCGGTCAACGACCATCCAAGGTACTTTTCCTTACCTCGTATTTACCCTTTAGTTGTGCAACTAAATCGCTTATCCTAGACATCACCTCATAATCGTGCATAAGATCGTTCATTTCAACACAGAGATTGTCTGCGCCCGCCTGTCCGCCTTCCCCACTCTTTTCGGACTTCAGACTGCCGCCTTTACTCAGGCCAGCAGTCAACAAACGACTTAACGTTGGTGAAGTACTCGTGTCCTGAATCTAAAACATTAAATTATTTCAAACGGAATATAAGATAAAATTAATCTTTGGTTTTATTACTACGGATTAGGAACTGTCAAAGTTAAGGAAGTAATTTTACCGAACCTCAATATCTGATACAGGATACGTCCATTTTAAAGTAAGTCGTTCGCTTCCGCTGAAGTCCTCTGCGGACCTTGGCGTCACCGACACGCACACTACGAGATCATTCAAGAGTAACAACCTTCGTCTTTTCGATTTCGTGATCATGCCGTTTTGATTGAATTCCTGTCAGATTATACGATAACGATTATCATAAACAGACTAAGTCCTTTGTATCTTATTCTGATTCTCTCTAAATTTCTACGTACCAACTGCGTGACGTTGTCTTCCCTAATGAGATACCTGGACGAGGACGAAAGTGGTCGATGAGATAATTTTCCGGAGACGTGTCGCAGCATTTCTTTGAACGCTTGGAACTGTTCAGCTTCGCGTTTCCTCTCGTTCAACATTTCTGCTAAACTCTCCAATTGGGTTAACGCTAACTGCAACGACATTCTGTCGTGGTGTCCTTGCGGCGTGTGTTTCAACAGGTCCTGAAGAAATCGTCTGTTAATTCTAACGCGATCAATCGAGAGGAACAGAGGATTCAATGATGATTCGTTGTTGTACTTACTTGTAGGAATAATATAAACTGTGGAAACCTCTGCACCGGTTTAACCATTAGTCCAAAAAATGACAATCTATCGTGTGCACTAATTTGTTTAACCTGCGACGAAAAGAATAAGTCGTATTATATTTCACATAAAGTACGTCCTGATCTTCTTTCACAAGCAGTAGAATCTTCATTTTTGCATTTTATTCTATTCCATTTATGAAAGCATAAGTAGACGTGATCTTGGTATGAAGTCTATCACATATCTGTACATTATCTCATACACTATCTAGTACACTATATAATGCACTATCGAAAACATCCAAAAGGCTCTATATACCTTGAAAAAGTCAGCAAGCGCGGTCTTTCTTTTCGATTCCTGTTTGGCCAGATCCATGGCCACCGAGAAATTGTTTATAAAGCCGCTGTAAATGTCGAGGACGATCGCTTTGCTGAAACTGGCGACGAACACGTCGCCGAGCTTCTCGTCTTTGTCCCAGGAACGAACGCATTCCGCGAGCGCGATTCTGAACAACGTATGGCATTGCAGAATCTCCGGCAATCTATGAAACAACGTCGCTATTTTCGCTTGGCTCAATATAGGCGGCGAGGATTCCTCCAAAGGTTTCTTGTAATCCTGAAACGGGGAATGGGGTGTATTTTTAACCGGAAAACCCGAATTCCCCGAAACCAGGGACGGGATCAGGGGTGTGTTTCTCGGTGCACGACGCGGTTCGATACGTACGTTCACTAGCCTCTGCAACGTCGACACATAACTGTTCTCCGAGTGTACTATAGCGGCCACTATGTGTCGACGTTTCAACTGTTGCGGAGTTAAATTCGGAGGTGTCGGCGGAAGAGCCGGCGGCGTTTGCCGACGTTGCTGCATGCACTGGAACTGCACCATCGCGCTATTCTCCTCTTCGACCTGAGAAACCAGGTACACTAAGTAGTTTGGATTCAAAGGAATTTATACATGGTGTCCCACCCTAATATGAGCATCTTAAATATCTCACTTCCTTTTGATTATCGGCGAAATTATTTTAACAAATGCTCAAAGTCAAATGAAGGTCCCACTACTGTAAGTCATTGGATTGGTCTTGACCTTTACTATTACGCCACGATGATAAAAATATACCATGTTAAAAAAAAATGAAAATATGACCTTGATGAAGTTTGTTGTATGTCACAGTATTTGCTCTCCTCCAACCAAATAATACTGTCCCTTCACATTTTTTTGTATCTGCTCACGTTGGGTGGGACACCCTGAATATAGTGTACCATGATCGAAAAGAAATTTTTCTTTTTGTCTCGAGGTGTTCACTCAAGGTTGTATTTTATATATCAGGGGATATTTTCTAACGGGAAAGAAGAAGGTTCGAAAGAATCTCTAACGGCGATTACTTCGCAAAGCTGCGGCATCTGAGGTGTCTTGATCGGGCTCGTGAGAGACACCGTGTCCGACGAGTCCACGTCGTATTGTTGCGTCGAGCCGCGTCGTATGCTGAACCATCTTGATAGTCTTCCGTGGTTTCCAGGCGAGTCCAATGGGTCAGCATTGTTCACTCGCATGTTCTGCGACCTCCACTTGTCGCAAAGCGTCCTCGCCTTGTGCAACGTGTTCCTTAACTGACAGTTACTTCTGCAACGAAATATAATCGCCACGTTGGAAAAATTGTAAATAATAAAAAAAAATTGAAAACAATAAAAAAAATCAGAAACAAAAAATTGTAAATAGCAAATTTTAAATAAAAAAATTCCAATTAAAATTAAACATTGATAACGTTGGAACATGTGGGCTGCATAGTCACTAAAAATTACTTAAAAGTAAAATAATAACCGTTTGCAGGTTATATAGACCTGATAATACTACTAGGGATCACAAGATCCCCCTTTTTATGATTTGTCGTTCAACTGGAAAAAGGAATGATACAAGTCGACCTACGTGAATTTCAAACGGAGAATATTTTAACAGCCCCTTACTTAATACTGATATTACTCTTCTCGCTCTCGTCGTCCGAAGAGAGGTCATGATCGGACGCGGAGCACCACGAGTCCTCGCTACGAGCGGACTGTGTCGAAGTGTTGGACCTAGTCGCCTCCAGGGACGGGTGGTGCTGTCTGTGCGTTTGCCCGACAGTTTCCATTTTCGTCGTCGGTCCTACGTCATCCCATGATCTGCACCTTGAACGTGGTTCATCTGAAATCAAGCGATATTCGCCATTTTGAGACGCGAGACTCGGAGGATGCGGATGGGTACTCTCGTTTCCGTTACGCTTTCGTCGAATTTTATCGAATCTTTATTGCTTATACGACAGGACATACTTAATGGTCTGATTGTACGATAAATGTCTTGGGCCGAAAAAATTGATTGTTTCGACATAGTACGGTTATGTAAAGCGAGTAACCGCCAGATATATATTATCGGATGTTGTAACTGGCAGCCATCTTTGTTTTTAGACTTGGTCTTGTTACATTTGAAAATGGCTGCCTGTTGCTATATCTATATACAATATTAATCGAAATCTGTTGGTTGTTAATTGTAGAACAACAAAAGCTTTCAGGTGTAAAGTTGAATAATATTTAGAACAAAAGTTTGCGCTAAAGAATTACTTCTGCCCGGACACCGAAGAGCCATGACATCGTGGATCCCTAATGTAAACCAGTACAGGTTTCATAAGAGCGAGCAACAGCAACATTCGCTGAACTCCTCGAGATTAAGTCAACTTATTACCATACGCCTTAATGTTACTATATTTTCGTTAAACGTAAGACGACAGTCTCTATTTATACAACGTGTGTCAATCGGTTCAAGAGGCGACCATCTCTTTTTATTTCTACGAAAGTGTAGGGTAAAAAAAAACACGGTCGACGTGTGTTAAAGAATCAAAGAAAAAAAAAGCTTGTGCACGTCTAATGACTGCTGGAAAATGTTTCTTTAATGAAATTCCAATTACAATTAACCCGTAATGATGAAAATTATGCGTCTACCCGAGATCGTTTCGCAACACGTGTTCCGAGTCTTTCGCACGAACGTCATCTTGCAATCGATTTCGCAATTCGAAGAGTCTCTACCTGCTTGTGTCACTTCCTTGGTGCAGAAATCTCAGTCATCCCTAACAATTGATACCACTATTCTATAATTTTACAATTGTAAAAAAATTACTGGAAAAAAAAATTGTAAAAAATAGTTGCATTTCGAGAAGCACGGGACGAAACTGGCAAAGAAGCATTATTATTACGATATCGAGCAGAATTGACCGATTCAAAAAATAATTCTTTTTGCGATATATTTTACACATTTCCGTGGAAGTTTTTCAATCGGTCGTAATCAACTAACGGAAAAACACCAAACACGTATGCATGTAACCACTTGCATTCCCGTCGTTCATGAAAATCATTAAACCGGCAATAAAACGCGTTTAGAGACAATGCGGATAGAGATAAGGGTGCCCCTGGGGTGAGTCACTTGCATGCGAGGTGAACTTAATGTTGACAAAGCTGTTCCATTACTCCACGTAGTTGAGTTTCATACGGAAATAAACTGACCAGGTTGAATTTAAGGGGTTGGCGAGTGATTCAGGGACTTGCGTTCTAGAGACACCGAATCCTATTGAAACACGGATTATTTTGAGGATTCAAGACATTTTGACTTATTACTCCGCCCATGTTTCCCACGTTCTCGACCGAATACCCAGATAAACGGACACGTCAGTGGTTTCAGTTTCGCTCGACCAAGCGCAGGATAATTACCAATATAATTAATACTTCCAGTGTATCTGGGGGATAAAGGACCCCAGAATCTCAAGTTGGTCTTGAATATTGATTGTTTAAAAGACCCTCACTTTAAACACCTTTCTGTATTACTTTATTTTTTTTACTGCATTCTATTTGAAAGTGCAATGATTAAACTTCAAAAAATAATTCTGCAACTTTTTTCGAAAAATCCATAGTTTCGGATATACTTCGAATTTGGAATCACTTCGAGTCATTTGTCCCCTACCTGTGCACTTCTAAGGACTGTTAGGTATGCAATAGTGGAAAGGGGCCTTAATAAACGAAATTTTTCGACAAGTATTCATCGATTTACGTTGCACGAGCACTATTGTTTTACAGAGCGGTCTCAATGACGAATGCTTTCCATTGGGATGAGAAACAAACGGAGATCATTTGTTTACGCCATATACACATGAAACTAGTAAACGAAGAGGAGACTGTTCCATGGGTCCGTTTATAAATGTGGGAAAGGGAGCCGTACGATACAACACCGGAACGAACTCGCGTTAACCAGATAGTCACCCTGTGGACAACGTTAACGCGCCGTAGTAACTTGAGCGCGCGACACGCACGCCGGAAGGTCCAATAAAACCGACAACGCGCGTGGGGAACCTACCGCTTCCGCACGTAGGGGACCGCCACTATCGCCCCGCGTGACTCGTTAATCGCGGGAGAAAGGTTCCTAAAGTTCAAGTTTAGTTGACAATGATGATGCTTCGACGAAGGAAAAGTCGTTTCTACCCACAGACTTCTATATTATATACTAGACTCCCCAAATTTCACTTATATAAAATGTCCTCAAAAAGCATGTACAGTGGAGTCCGTTTATAGCGACATTCAAGGGACAGAGAAATTACTTTAAATATATATAAAGTAATGTGTATGGGAACTGAGCTTACAAGGGACGTTTCTCGTAGACTCGTTTTTATATATAATATTCGTTCACTGGTACGTGTTCATTTACGGGTGCATCCACCCTACAAGACTGTGACAATGGTATAGGTATAGAAAAGCGCCTATAATACCCAGCACGCGTATTATGCAAATACAACAGTACAATGAGGATGTTACAACTTGAACGTTCAACTGTCGACCTGCACACTCTTCGTCGGACATTAAAGTTTAAAGTTCCGTAATTTATGTGATTTATGCGGAAAGGAATCCGTTTCTATCATCGTTACACCGTTTCTGGGAATTCATGTTCTCGCAGACCATATTTCACGCGAACCGACACGACCGAAATTGTCCCTTCTATCTGCTAAAGTATTTGTCCAATTAGAAATTAAATAAAAACAAATCCAGATTTGTTAAAGTGTTCTGAATCATTTACCACTGGCAACGAAAGCGTAAAGTCCATTTGTCTGACAGGCGGTTCGAGGTGAGATCGATGCAAATATGAGCATGTATCACCTACGACATCCAGTTACATTCAGAGTGCAAAGTGTACACACCAGCCTGCTTAGAATATAAACAAACGGACAGATACTTGGTTTATGTAATGCAACGGAGGCACATATATCATATCCGTGTATATGTTAACATAAATGTAGCTACTCTATCTGTAGATGTGATCATAATGATATTTTCGTTGTGGGTCTCAAATGACCCAGTGTTCGGTCATCGTGCCGTGAGTTACGATTTAGCTTTGAATTTCAAGCGAAAGAAATACTGCAAAAAATATACATATGACTTCCTCCTTCACTATATTGTCGAGTAGATCAAGGCCACAGGTATATATATCTATACTAAAATATATGTATACTGCATATATATGTATACTAAATTATGATTTCGAGGAAAATTCAAGGGCAAATATGAATGGACACGCCTCGGGGAACAACGTTTCACAAGAGGAGGGCTTCCCGTAATTGCGCGCAGACGATCGAACTGTGTTACGTGTGCAGGCAACGATTATTTATTGCTCCCTAGAAAGCGCCACGATCAGGCGTAGTATAACCGGAGAGCAGCCGATATTCACTCAACGTTTCGTCCATTACGTTGCGATCCGACGCGCGTTTCATGTATAATCAGTATTCGGTACTAGATCGATCGAGACTGAGAAAAAAAACTCACAAAAACAGGACAAAACGATATTTGCTTTGGTACTGCGTTAAGAAATAAGTGACTCATTTATGGGTCGCCAGTGACCCGGCCACAGGAACTCAGGGGTTAACATAGAAGAAACGATTATAGCCTGTAACGATTACACCCTTTAACGTTTATATTAAGCCTCTGTACGTAATGTGGGTCATTGACGACTCAAGTTAATTTCAATTTTTCCCGGACTTTCTCAAGAAATTTTACCGTTATTGGAAAAAGTTTTAAACATTTGATTTAACGAAGGATTCTGTAATATGATAGTAGAGAGTTTGGTAAGTAACCCACAATTTTTTCATAATTTTTTGAAAGCCTAAAACAGCAAGAAAAACTAGGCTTGACATATACAACCCAGTTTGCCCACGGGGAGTTGAAAATGATTTTTATAATTCCATGTCATAATTAATATAAATAAATATATATACATATACATACACGAAACAGCTTACGATGATATAAACGTGTAAGTGCCTGACGCCAATGTCACACCGTGTCATAGAGGATTAACAGATTATCCTAACCGCTGGTACAAAGTGAACTCGTACATACCGGATCATCTTTCAAAAACCAGGCTACACGTTATCTAATAAAAATCGTGCCAGGGTTGCACAGCCGTTACTAACACGTCAGTGCTTTTTTTTTTATCGATGTTCCCTGAACCTTGGATCTCTATCCTAATGGAATTAGCCACTGGCCACACTAGTTATGTTGCATGGTGCACGCGGTTACATAACCTCCCCGGCGTATAATCCATCAGAATGTGTGCATCGTTTCGTCGACCGTTTGAAACTTCCAGCCCCCGGCATGAATATTGCAGGAGATCGAGGATCGAAGCTCGATTTCCCGACGAGAAATTCAAAGAAGAAGAAAAACAGTGCGCAAGTATCACGTTCATGGTCATCTAAGACGATTATTACAATTTTCCTCGACGGTTCATTACGCCGTCAGGACTCTCTCCCCCCTGCCGCTTGCCACCACGATGGAACGAATTTTTTCACGCGCACCGATAACACTCTGTCCTCGGAGACAATCTGTTTATGGTAAAATAACCAAGCGTATTGAACTTATCGTCCGATCCTCATAGCGAGGCTGACATTTGCCGCAAGGTTGTCAGAGAGATTTATGTAGGAATCGCGATCACAGCGCGGTGACGCGACTTTGAAAAATGTGTAACGACTCTCTCACAATCGCGCGGAAGATGAATGTACGACGCGGCGACGATGGCGTTGCGTCATTTTCCCGTAAATGGTTAAGACGAGGCTAGACACACACGGGCTGTGTCACGTCAAGGGTTACCTCTAACGGGTGCTTGTTGGACTTTGTACA